TTTTTTTTTTTTTTTTTTTTTTTTTTTTTTTTTTTTTCCTTTTTTTTTTTTTCACTTTTTTTTTTTTTGGGGGGGGGGGAAAACCCCCCCCCCCCCCCCCCCCCCAAGGGATGAGGAGGAGGGAGAATAAGAGGGGAGGTGTAAGGAAGGACAAGATGAGGAGGAGGAGGTTTCGGGAAGAGGAAGTACACCCTCCGTCCCTCCTCTTCCTCCTCCTCCCTAACGCCTTCTCCTCCTCCTCCTCCTCCCTAACTCCCGTCCTCCTCCAAGAAGATGAGGAGGTGGAGGATTAGGAGGAGGAGGAAGGGAAAAGGAGGAGCAGGAGTTAGGGAGGAGGAGGGACGGGGGGGCGTACTTCCCCTTCCCTATACCTCCACCTCTTTCCTTCCTCCTCATCCTAATCCTCCTCCTCCTCCTCCTCCTCCTCATCTTGTTGGAGGAGGAAGGACGGAGGGTGTACTTCCTCTTCCCCACACACCTCCTCCTCGTCTTTTTCTTCCCTACACCTCCCCGCTTATTCTTCCTCCTCCTCATCCCTTGGGTGTTCTGGCACCTTGATGCATGCGAAGTAGTATCTCTAAACTGTGGAGTTCATCAGATTGCACTCATATCTGTCGCGTGTATATGAACCTCATCTTCTTCGTCTTGTTGTTGCACAAAATCGACAAGCACATTTTTCAAAGCAACCGCGACAGCCATGTCTTTCTCTCTAACTTATTACTGCGTATGCGTCAAGGTGCCAGAATCTCCTCCGAGCGCAACCGAGAATTAATTACAGCTTTGGAAGTAACTCGCTTAATTACGCTGCGGGGTATTCAGGGCACAGACCGTGATCACTACCCAGTGGGCAAATCATGTTGTTTCAACGTTGAAACAATGTTGAACTATAACGTTGACAAGACGTTGGATTAACATTGGATTTGAAAGTTGTATCAACGTCAAATAACAACGTTGTATCAACGTCAGATAAGAACATTGTATCAACGCCAGTTGTTAGACAACATTCTTTCATGAAAAGACATTAAAATGACCTGTTTTTATTTTTGGTACATATCACAGGTACACAATTATAAAGTACACTGTAAAAACATCTAAGTGCCTGCTTTGTCTCATTTTTTCAACGCATTTATCTCCTTTAGAAGCACGTTTTGCTTCTAAGCATGTTACACGCTTTTAGCCTGGATGTGTTTAGCAGTACTAGGACGCGTTTGATGGCTAAATATATGTAGAGTGTATATGTATGGCCTATAAGTTAGGATTTCCAAGGTTTAGTTTTACATATATAAGAAAGTCACGGTCACCTCAACCTGTCTATCTATCTATAGCAGGGTACCGTGAACTGTCAACAACGTTAACATCACTCCATCACACTTACAGTGACTTATTCATCCTTGTGTTAACTGACCTTGCGAGGCAGTTTATTGGAATATATTTCTGAATAACAAGTTTAGAAAATTCACTAGTTCACTAGTTCACTAAAGACACAAAACAACTGTCACTTTTACTTTAAAGCACCATTTTTAATATTTCGATAATGTTCGTTACAGTATTGATAAACATAGTATCACGTTTTCAATAATTAATATCTTAAATTACGATCTATGTCTTGCATCACGACGACCTGAACAACGTTGAGTCAATGACCAAAATACAACGTTGAGTCAACGTCACATTATGACGGCGTTTTGACGTGGCTGGATCAACATTGATTTGACGTTAAATTTAGGTAGATCAACGGCCATTCAACGTCCCAACCTGTTTTCAACGTTGATCCAATGTCATTATGCCTGCTGGGTAGATACCGCCAATGGGTTTTTGGATTTTTAGAATTTAGATTTTTCATGTGAACGGTGCCTTATTGAGTGCAAGTTTATTTTCTTTGAGTGTCAACAAGTGCAGGAATTGTTCTCGTAGTAGAGAAAGATGAAACATGTCAAATTCACATATAGTTTGATTTGATTGGTTAGTCTCTCAATAGATATGTAAGTTTCTAACACGTGAAAAATGCTTGCAAACTCGTGATGGGCAAGGTCCAGACATGAGTAATTCAAATAATATTTTAGATATTTTAATTGAAAACAAGTCTCTTAGGGATTGCCTTATAAGGAAATGTTGAATGGCTGTTTGCAACATGAGAATAGAAAATTCCTTGTAATCACGCAACGACAGTAGAAAGAAAATAAGTAAATGCGTGATCAATGCGGGGAGATAGAGTATAAATACTTGTGAAATTGTGTGGAAAGAGAGTCGGTGAATAAACGTTTGAAAGCTCCAGACTGTTGTCGTTATTCCTCACTATAACAGAATTCTTCAAAATAAACCACAGAGTAAACCGGTTAGGTGAGACTATTGTAATCCACAATAGGGGAGGTACACAAGCCAAATACCTAATACATCATTCTTATAACTTAATACAGCTGATGAAATTCTTCTCTGACAAGATAACGCTGTAATAAAAAAATCTAAATACACAATACAGGACTTAAACATTTATGAAAACAATTAAAAAAAGCATTGGCAGCCATAGTCCCCCCCCCCTAAAAAATTTGTTAACAAACAAACAATAAGAAAGCAATTTTTAAAATTTTTACAAGGAACACCGTTGTATAATCGTCTTGAAAAAAAGCTGGAAATTCAATAACGCCGAATTGATACTTTTTATTTAAACTAAAATCCGTCAACTTAAAGTGTCAACAAGTTTTATATAACAAAATAATCTTCATTTAAATCCGCTTACAAAGAGGTTTGAAGAGGACAAAACGAACTTCAGGATGCTTCAAATTCAACTGTCATACAGTTGACTGGTGTAGACGGTGGGATGCGGGGCCCATTGTCAATAGAGATGAAATTATAATGTCAACACGTTTTCTAAAACTTCACTTAAAAAGGGGATTTAAAACTACAATGAGAAGTTTCGAAATATATATATATAAGTCACAGTCACCTCAACCTGTCTATCCATGGGCGTAACTAGGCACACGCACGGATGCACTGTGCGCACAATTTTTTTGGCCTACCATGATATTATTTTATATAGATTTAGTATATTTTTCACGGAATATAGTCGAAAATCCTTTGCGAATTAAAGTCACAAATCCTCTGTATCAATTATATATGTTCTGACCCCCCGTCTTGCATACTCTCCGCCTCGCACACGCCTCCCCATGTGTCGTCCCAATGGAGCCGAGATTTAATGACTGTACCCCCGCAGGGACGACGCATAAGAGTGTGAGAGGCGGAGAGACTATTAAAAAATTAGGCGGTTTTCCTTTCATGTACGTCCGCCACATTTAGTTCGTGGCTTTGTAGAGCCATGGCTCAACTCGATGTGAATGCGGCCTAAGAATAATAACTAGACTGCAACTGGCTGAAGCCAGTGGCGGAGGATTCCCCTGAAAAACAGGTGTGGAATGACCTTGAAGAAAAAGGTCAATTACAAGGCCATGTGCTAAATCTGATCCCATATTCTGAAAGAGCATATGTGGATTAGGGGAGGTTTATCAACAATACATCAGTTTTAGCCTAAGTGAATATTTCACCTTGAAATGTCCAAATAACCTTGAAATTGAAGGTCAAGGTCATATTTGACATTTGATTTGGGGATGTTGGGTATAGGTTTGGGGTAGTTTACTATAGCATGTTATCACAAAAAATCAGTATTTCATGGAGAAATTGCCAAAGTCACGATTTCTGCGACATCATAAATATTTAAAAATCTATATTTAAAAAACGAATCAAGCAATTGCTACGAAAGTTCAGCTAACTTTAGATAAGACTATAAGGGATCATTTGCTTCCAAAAATTAGGCTCTAGGCCTCCCGGTTTTTGAGATATGGGAAAGAACTGAATCTGGTATCAGGTATCCAATAGATCTTTTCATGTGGGGGTGAGGGTTGGATGGCCACTTGCTCATACATATAGCTCTTTAACCAGTATTTTCCTTATTTCAAATTGAGGACGGCAAACAACCGGAACTATTTGGTTTAAACACAGAGGAATAATGCACATATTTTGTTTACTGTAACTCTGTTACATGGGACACAAACTTTTCTGTTACTGGTTCAAGGACTACAAAACTTTTACTCCTCGATAGGGAAGTCCTACTTCTCGACCTTTCTTTGTCTCCTTGTCCTGAACCGTGGCACGCTGCAAAAGCAGCCCTTCGCGTGATAGAGGCTACAGGCGATACCAGCGCGATATAAAAAGACCCTAAGCAGCAATCCTCGTCATTTGGAGATAGCCTGCCGAGCAGTCAAAAGTTTTGTCTTAGAGCTGTACTGGGCGACAAGGGGACATCTCCCGGAATCAAGAAGTACCGGTACCTACTAGTACTCTGAAAAGGTCCATCATGAAGTACATAATAGTGCTGGTTTTGTTGATCGGTAAGTATGGTTCACAACTACAAAAAATGAGTTTACTGCAATAGTTTGAATTGGTAAGATGAGTAAGAAACCGAAAGTTGTTAAAAACAATATAAGTTTTACAATGTTAAGGGATTGATGAAGTTTGATAAAATGACAGAAATAGTTGCATTAGGCACTGGTTATATCTATATGCATCTCTTTCTCCAAATTTGACATTACGTCTATGGAAAAAGGTACGTGTATGATTCCATTTCGGGCATAAGTTCAGATCTGTATGGCGTGTATCTTATTCCATTTCTTATTATGATTCCGCCGTCTTCTTTGTGTACTCAGTCTGGTAGAAGGTAGAACGATAGAAAAGATTTATTGCCTCTTAAGACTGTTCTCAATTTGAACCAATCACTGAGAATAAAATTGGAGTCATTTGACTCTCTAGTCAGAGTCCAGCACCCCTTGACCCTTGTGGAGTTAATTTGACTCCAATATAAGGGTCAAATTACCCCACTACCCGAGTCTTTAGACTCTGTTATCAGAGTCAATCACCCCCTGGCTCTCATGGAGTCAGTCTGACTCTAAAATCAGAGTCAAATTACCGGGGGCCAGTGTCTGGCTGACCCCTTTCACCGACTCTTTTCGCTCGCTGGACAGTAAGCCTCGTTTCAGTACTTGTGATGACAGTGAGCAGACGGCGTGAAGAGAACAGTTTTCATCATCCTTTGTCAGTATAAACATTACTTTATTGGCCATAGTTGGTTTTATGCATGAACAAGTGGTTTTTCTTCATGCAGAACTCGTGCACTTATTACTGACCCGGGCTTTCAGTTGCCCACACCCTTTATGTGATATGTTGGTATACAGGTCAACAGGTTTTGTTTCCATGTTGTGGGTTTGACCCACCATTTCATGTCACTGGGGAGGTATGCTCACTCATTGGTATATTTGTGGTTTATATTTATACATGTCATGCTGTTTTTACCAGATTCACAAACTATTTGTTATTGGAAACTCAACACCACATGCGATCGGAGTGTCCGTCTCCAGAGCGGGAGGACTTGGGTTCAAACCGTGCACAAACCATTCGTTAATAAACGGTACCTGCTGTCTCCCCGCTTGGCACTATGTCTTTTTTTTTCATAATGTGCCAAGGAGTCAAAAATTCCTTAATATGGGGTCATGGTGACTCTTTTGTAGAGATAAATCAAGGGATGAAGGTGTAAGGTTCGATTCTAGGTTCACAGATCGAGAAGAAGTGAGCAACAAGAGTCGTGGATTTCCAAACAGCTTTATTCCTACTACCTAACTTCTCTCTCTACCCACCACCTGTTCTATTTATATGTACCTTAATGTCTCATTGTAATAATACTTTATAATAAATCTTACTAGGCGCGGGCGCCGCGACATCCTATAGTCTAGGCGCGGGCGCCGCGACATCCTAGGGGCGTGGGACATGCTAAGGGGCGCCACCGCGTCCCTTACAGTCCTCCCAAAGGGATGCGTGAATGGAGTCGATTGTGACCCTTATGTGGGGTCTGGGATGGCGTTACTCCATCGGAGTCAACTTGACTACAATTGGGATAGGTTCCACTGCTGGACTCCAAGTTTGGAATCACTTGGACTCCCGTTTTATTCTCAGTGATATGAAGTCACTGCAAATATTGAAGCATACCATGAAAGAACTACATGTAAAGTAGTGTGTAATACGTTTCCTAAAACGTCAGGTACCAGTGCCGGTATTGTTATGGAAATGACACGACTTGCTCTGTGAATAACATTTAGTTATTCTGTTACTTAAACGTGTTTAATCAATTTTAATTATTAGATTTTTTTGGTAATATTTTAACTCGCTGCAGTGAAGTTATTATGCAGTGTAAAATGTACGAACTACACTTTTATACAGGAGAGACCAGAGCATTCTAAAGTACAAAGGCACTAAAGCGTGGTTTTTTATGTTGCCAAGGATTTTATGTATCTATATAGTTAGAACAGCTGTTCTGTTGTAGCGGGGAATGATGACACGTGCATGTGAAGTAAAAAGAGGATAAAAAACTGTGCTGCTTGCAGCTTCCAAAAACACACCCCCTGATATCAGGGGTCTCTAAGATAGTATACAAAATTAAAGTATGTGAGACACAATAATTTTGTAACGGAGCNGTAGAGCCATGGCTCAACTCGATGTGAATGCGGCCTAAGAATAATAACTAGACTGCAACTGGCTGAAGCCAGTGGCGGACGATTCCCCTGAAAAAACAGGTGTGGAATGACCTTGAAGAAAAAGGTCAATTACAAGGCCATGTGCTAAATCTGATCCCATATTCTGAAAGAGCATATGTGGATTAGGGGAGGTTTATCAACAATACATCAGTTTTAGCCTAAGTGAATATTTCACCTTGAAATGTCCAAATAACCTTGAAATTGAAGGTCAAGGTCATATTTGACATTTGATTTGGGGATGTTGGGTATAGGTTTGGGGTAGTTTACTATAACATGTTATCACAAAAAATCAGTATTTCATGGAGAAATTGCCAAAGTCACGATTTCTGCGACATCATAAATATTTAAAAATCTATATTTAAAAAACGAATCAAGCAATTGCTACGAAAGTTCAGCTAACTTTAGATAAGACTATAAGGGATCATTTGCTTCCAAAAATTAGGCTCTAGGCCTCCCGGTTTTTGAGATATGTGAAAGAACTGAATCTGGTATCAGGTATCCAATAGATCTTTTCATGTGGGGGTGAGGGTTGGATGGCCACTTGCTCATACTTATAGCTTTTTAACCAGTATTTTCCTTATTTCAAATTGAGGACGGCAAACAGCCGGAACTATTTGGTTTAAACACAGAGGAATAATGCACATATTTTGTTTACTGTAACTCTGTTACATGGGACACAAACTTTTCTGTTACTGGTTCAAGGACTACAAAACTTTTACTCCTCGATAGGGAAGTCCTACTTCTCGACCTTTCTTTGTCTCCTTGTCCTGAACCGTGGCACGCTGCAAAAGCAGCCCTTCGCGTGATAGAGGCTACAGGCGATACAAGCGCGATATAAAAAGACCCTAAGCAGCAATCCTCGTCATTTGGAGATAGCCTGCCGAGCAGTCAAAAGTTTTGTCTTAGAGCTGTACTGGGCGACAAGGGGACATCTCCCGGTATCAAGAAGTACCGGTACCTACTAGTACTCTGAAAAGGTCCATCATGAAGTACATAATAGTGCTGGTTTTGTTGATCGGTAAGTATGGTTCACAACTACAAAAAATGAGTTTACTGCAATAGTTTGAATTGGTAAGATGAGTAAGAAACCGAAAGTTGTTAAAAACAATATAAGTTTTACAATGTTAAGGGATTGATGAAGTTTGATAAAATGACAGAAATAGTTGCATAAGGCACTGGTTATATCTATATGCATCTCTTTCTCCAAATTTGACATTACGTCTATGGGAAAAGGTATGATTCCATTTCGGGCATAAGTTCAGATCTGTATGGCGTGTATCTTATTCCATTTCTTATTATGATTCCGCCGTCTTCTTTGTGTACTCAGTCTGGTAGAAGGTAGAACGATAGAAAAGATTTATTGCCTCTTAAGACTGTTCTCAATTTGAACCAATCACTGAGAATAAAATTGGAGTCATTTGACTCTCTAGTCAGAGTCCAGCACCCCTTGACCCTTGTGGAGTTAATTTGACTCCAATATAAGGGTCAAATTACCCCACTACCCGAGTCTTTAGACTCTGTTATCAGAGTCAATCACCCCCTGGCTCTCATGGAGTCAATCTGACTTTAAAATCAGAGTCAAATTACCGGGGGCCAGTGTCTGGCTGACCCCTTTCACCGACTCTTTTCGCTCGCTGGACAGTAAGCCTCGTTTCAGTACTTGTGATGGCAGTGAGCAGACGACGTGAAGAGAACAGTTTTCATCATCCTTTTTCAGTATAAACATTACTTTATTGGCCATAGTTGGTTTTATGCATGAACAAGTGGTTTTTCTTCATGCAGAACTCGTGCACTTATTACTGACTCGGGCTTTCAGTTGCCCACACCCTTTATGTGATATGTTGGTATACAGGTCAACAGGTTTTGTTTCCATGTTGTGGGTTTGACCCACCAATTCATGTCACTGGGGAGGTTTGCTCACTCATTGGTATATTTGTGGTATATATATATACATGCCATGCTGTTTTTACCAGATTCACAAACTATTTGTTATTGGAAACTCAACACCACATGCGATCGGAGTGTCCGTCTCCAGAGCGGGAGGACTTGGGTTCAAACCCGTCCGTGCACAAACCATTCGTTAATAAACGGTACCTGCTGTCTCCCCGCTTGGCACTATGTCTTTTTTTTTCATAATTTGCCAAGGAGTCAAAAATTCCTTAATATGGGGTCATGGTGACTCTTTTGTAGAGATAAATCAAGGGATGAAGGGATGCGTGAATGGAGTCGATTGTGACCCTTATGTGGGGTCTGGAATGGCGTTACTCCATCGGAGTCAACTTGACTACAATTGGGATAGGTTCCACTGCTGGACTCCAAGTTTGGAATCACTTGGACTCCCGTTTTATTCTCAGTGATATGAAGTCACTGCAAATATTGAAGCATACCATGAAAGAACTACATGTAAAGTAGTGTGTAATACGTTTCCTAAAACGTCAGGTACCAGTGCCGGTATTGTTGGAAATGACACGACTTGCTCTGTGAATAACATTTAGTTATTCTGTTACTTAAACGTGTTTAATCAATTTTAATTATTAGATTTTTTTGGTAATATTTTAACTCGCTGCAGTGAAGTTATTATGCAGTGTAAAATGTACGAACTACACTTTTATACAGGAGAGACCAAAGCATTCTATAGTACAAAGGCACTAAAGCGTGGTTTTTTTATGTTGCCAAGGATTTTATGTATCTATATAGTTAGAACAGCTGTTCTGTTGTAGCGGGGAATGATGACACGTGCATGTGAAGTAAAAAGAGGATAAAGAACTGTGCTGCTTGCAGCTTCCAAAAACACACCCCCTGATATCAGGTGTCTCTAAGATAGTATACAAAATTAAAGTATGTGAGACACAATAATTTTGTAACGGACCAGTAGCGCACCTAGTGATCAGAGAGTACCAATAACATCAGAATACATGGGATCTTTGTTTGTATTCATGGTATGCACGGTCTTTTAACCTTGGATCTGTTAATTTGTGCGGCTGTCACACCCAAACTATAAGGCTTGGTTGTATAAGGCAGGTGTCACGCACACGTCAAACGTCGTTTTTTTTTTTGCCAGTGTAACTATAAACGGAAAACGAAGGGAAAATATCAGAAAAAAAATTGGTAAAACGATTGGTTGTCTAAAAAACTTTATTCAAAACTTTCATGAGATATCAATTATACACTGGAAATGTCATTTTTATTTCAACAGAAAACCATAGTAGTGTTTTTGCAGTGCGCAAGCACTTACAAAACAAAACAAAACAAAAAAACTATCTCAACCTGTGTGCACATGTACTCCACCAGTAATACCTTTTAATAAGGTCATGACCTTGACCTCCAGTGACCCAGAGACTAGTTGCCAAAGATTGGGGTTCCCTTACTTAGAAGGAGTTGATACTTATAATACGTTTCTGTGACATTGGGTTTCCAAGTTATGGATTTCAAGTCCACCCATCCCATTCAATGGCGGCCATTTTGGATTTTTGTGGAAAATGAGACTTTGCCATGGGGGGATTCATGGGGAAATTTTTTTGGACGGACCAGAGTCAGTTGAGAAACATTTGTCATCAATTTTTTCCAACCTAAGTTGTTTATTGACTGGCCTATAAGCAGGCCTATTTTACCTAAGACTATATAGTTTATGCACTCGGTTTTAGGGAGAGAACAAATACCAGTCCGCTCTACTGTTTGAAGAATAAATAAAAGTCTTTAGCTCAATTTCATCCCATTTTCCCCTTCATTCCAGTTCTTGAAGTTGCCCTGGCCAGACCTCCCGTGGGCCTTCGAGGTCGGCATGCAGATGATAATAGCGAAGGTCAAGGACGTCCAGGTAGACATGGCGGGAGACGCGTCAACAGACAACGTGGCTTAACCTGTGCTAATATCACTGAGACTGATTGTGACGTCTTGCCGTCAATGCGCCTGTGTGATGATGCAGGGTCCTATACCAACTGGTAATTAATTTAGTAATATTCGGCCTTTATCTACCCTAGGTTCTAGATTTCAGTTTTGCCAGCTCGTTCTTGATTTCATATATAGCCGATATCAGCAAAACTGAACTGTAGCCACTAGCGGCATATTGAGGGCGTGTTTGGCAAAATTTTTGCCTGGGGCTCTTCCATATTTGGAAGTCACAAGTCTCGTACGTCACAGCTTTAACCCGCCTGGAGCTGCCTTTCCAGCCTTACGCTGACGATATCTCGCGTAGACGAGACAAGAAGCAAAGTGGCTGACGCAGAGTTTGAACTTTGAACTAAGAATATCTTCCAATCGAAAGTCAGTGCCACAACACAAGCAACTTTCTGCTTTAAAAAATGATTTTTGGTGTAGCCATTGCGCAGTCCTTATAGTGGTATCGGGCATGCAATGTAGGTGTCAAACTTGGCACGCGTTAAACACGTCTATTGTGTTTATATCTCAAGGAGCAAATGATATAAAAACATCTGGTATATCTTTTTCTTTTAAAATATATTACTTATTTTTCAATTTACATCTTATATACAGTAAATAAAATTAAATAAAGCAAGACTAAATCTGCTTTACGTTTCATTTTGGACTAATGACATTCAACTGCAGATTCACTGCGGAGCAGTTCTTTTTGATTGACGGATACGCAACATTGTCGCTGTTCCTAAGGGCCACTGTGAAGCAATCCCGTGAAAATGTTTGAATAGTTAACAAACTAGTGACCCCGACACTCAGGGCACCTTTATCCAGACTGTTTCAAAGGAAGCGTTCACAACCAGTTTACAACGTGCGCACTTGGATCCCTGCCTCCTACGCGCGCCGTCCCAGCAGGGGCAGAGCAATCAAATTTCGGCACGATATCAAGTGGTTCGCGCCATATTTGATCGGCGGATCAACTTGTGCTCATTTACTCTCCTCTGTAATCATATTGCCATCACCACGAACTTCCGGGTATTTACATTGCCCCATCTCTGTAACAGTTTACGTTACGTTCTTCAGGGTGCTCACAATAAACAATAACTTTCTGTTTGTCGCTGTTCATGTTGATAATCAATGTGATCCTGTTACACTTTGTCACCCTAGGTATATAAAAGATATTCAATTTTTAGTAGTTAGTAGAACGCACGTGTTTTTCATATTACACGAAGACTTTATCGTATTATTTTGTCTTTAAGGTGCGACTACATGAAGAGAGTTAAGTGCCCCCAGGACCTGTCAGCCGGAACTAACTTCACAGCTATCTTCAAATGTGACGAGAGCGGCAACCCTCTACCTGCACCTACCCGAGGAGGGCTTAGACGATGTAAAGACAGGGCATGTAGACGGGGGCATCCAGCGGAGCAAACGCCAAAAAAATAAGGAATAAGAATTATGACGCTATCACGAAAAGAAGCAGCGTTCACAGCCTGCTAATCTGTCTTTGACGCTTTACTTGTAATAACAATTCCAGCGAGACCAACATGTATCTGTATCATTGTTGAATGGGAATCAGTCGAGATGACCCCGAGTCTCGCAGCTTGGCACAAAATCAAGCGAGATTTCGCGGCATTTGGAGGAGAGTGGGGTTAGAAATAGTGGCAGGCCAGTTTCGTTTTATGTTATTTCTGATGATTCCCATTGAAAAGACACCTTTTCTGTCTTAGCACAACGTGATCAAACATGTTGATAAGTGTTGTAATTTCATACTTTCTGTTCATTAGTCTTTGTACTGAAGTTAATATGTTGTAAAATGGACATCCTATTTCAACAGCACAGATACATTAGATCGCTTCCATTTAGATTTCATTCTCATTGAATAATGTTAAATCATTTTTAAGTACTAACAAAAGTAAGAATGCCTTTTTTCCTGTTTTTGTAAGAACTTCTCATGCACATTTCTTCCATAAATATCCATAATGTAATTTACATTGCCCCATCTCTGTAATAAAACACATGCAAAAAATGCCTCTCCTGAGTTTATTCTCTTGGAGCATTATATCAGCTCTACATGCTTCATAAGCAAAGAAATACCTGTCATCTCAACATTGTACTTACGAGAAACGTAAATAAATTGTCTAGGTTATGAGGTTGTGAAAAAAATCCTAATTCGCACTGAACTTGAAATCTATTGACCCTGGCGCACTAACAATGGAGGTATACCGAGAATGGAGGTATACCGAGTAATAGGTGAATTTGTCATTTTGTCATTTTGTCCTGTTTTGTTTGTAAAGACAAAAAGTACGCTCATAATATTATGTGCACGGAGTAACTACCGTACACACCTTTATCATTCTTAGCCCAAAATGTGCCCACAAATTACGGCACAAGAGCTGGGATGTTGTATTCCCCGATTTTAGTGATATCTGGTGAGCGGTCCTTTCACACAATATTTTGAGTGTACTTGTCTTTAAGGGTACTTCCATTTAAGTCTTTGTACAAAGAACGCGTTGTTCAATTTGACGAGATAAAGGAACAATGAATGCTTGGTTTTTGTGTTTATGGGGAAACGCCTAGTTATGTGACCATTGCGACAGGTTGGGAGGCAGTTCTCTGTCGCAATCACGAATAGGACAACACCACAAACGTTGTCTGCATATGGCTGAAATTACTTTATGTTGAAACTGATAAACACAACCAAAGCTCTCCTTGTCTCCTCTTTCTCAAAATCGAATAATTAACTTAGCTGATAGTTTGCTGTGGAAACTATGTTAGAAATCCGAAGTTTGTGTTGGGTGTTTATCGGAGTCCCACCATATTTTCCAATTTGCTTTTTCATTAATCGATTAATCAATCAATAAGAATTTTATATATTTAATTGTTATTTATTTTTCGGTTTGTTTTGTAAGCAAGATAACCGTGCTGCATCTCATGTTACAACTTAAAAATGAAAAAAGAATTAGAGCAAGATGCTTTTTAAAGTTCAGATTTCGGTCAGGATAAATTCTCCAAACTTGTCCGTTCAATGTTGTACCTGCTGGGGATTATCTGAAAATACCAACATACAGAGCATTCCAAAAGTTATCTAACAAACATGTCCATATATAATCCAGCCTTGTATAAACACGCCAGGAGAAAATGACACACTATAAAATTTATCCGAAAATCCAGATTAGGAACTACATTATCTCAGCCACTTATTTAGATGGGAAATTTACGTGAACTCTTCTTTGCACTACAGTATTTCGTTTTGTAAAATGTGCTCATGTTTTTTAAAAGTCGCATATCAAATGATTTAAATAATATATATATTGAAATGATATATATATAGGCCTATACCACTTAGTCAGAAATCGAAATCATAATTTGAAAAAAATGGTATTCAAGCGCGTGACAATAACTATACAGTAACAAAATAAGACCCGTTTCTATATTTGTACAGTTGATATAATAGAGAAAAAGGACACTAAAAGAGAAAAAAGAAAAGAGGCGGGCTCGTCCGGGATTTGAACCCGGGACCTCTCGCACCCAAAGCGAGAATCATACCCCTAGACCAACGAGCCGCTGTTGGCTAATTTATCTGTTTTATCGACCTCAACCAGATATGGGTCACCACGATGTTTCCACTCACGCATGTGAAAAACCTGCAACACTACAAGCCTATGCGCCTTTTTTGAAGATACGGATATCAGCCAGTGGACATAAACTACTTAGTTCATGGTGTTGCAAATACACATTCGCATTTTTATGAATATGTATTTTTCACAGATTCAAATATCTTTTTATAAATGCTTAAAATTTGCCCAGAAAAGAAGACAATATTTCCCTGGAGATAAATTTTGTGTTTTATGTTCAAATTGTAGGCCTACATATTACAGATAGCTGCAGTGATGGATTTTCTCTTCATTTTAAGAATGGTTTTCATGGTTGTTTATTTTTTCTTAAAGAAGGGAATACAAATTTAAAAGAATGAGGAATAAATTGCTGCCACGAAAGTACCCAGTAAAACTTTCTTCAAGTTTTCGATACTTTTCCACTGATACCCAATTCATTCATTCATTCATTCAAGACAATGGATTTAAACACGTTGGCCAATTCATTGCAGTCTCTCCTAGCCACTAGTCTCATGTGCTCCTTATCACGATACTTAATTATTTCTGTTGCAAAAAGAAAAAAAATCAACAAAAAGTTCACCCAAGGTCTTTGACTGACAATTCCCGTGCTGCTCTCTTTTTGTGACAAGCTAATAATTCTCGTCGTAAATATCCTTCACACTATGACTTCTCTGAATAAAATGCACAAAGCGCACGCAAATTCAACAACCAACATTATTATTTTTTTACATTTTCATTGCTCCTCATGATACATATACATTACAAAATAGACGTGTCTTTTACTGCTTAAAAATAATAAATGACCAAATCCTAAACGCACACGTTATTGCGGACAGGCATGCAGTAAAAAGAATTCATGCATTTCCCTTTAAATCATTGTTATCAGATCTTCCCTTTTCTTATTTTTACCCGAGTCATGCCGGTTGTATTGATTGCACGCTTGCTCCTTTAAACACGTACAGTAAATTAGAGACCATTCCCAGATCCTATCGTACTAACTTTGGATCGAACTATCTCCAAGGGGCTCCTCGCTTAATTGCAATTAAGTGAAGCTGCATAGATGTCTGTCATGCCAACTGAAGCCGATAGGGGGTAATTAACTATCGTTTAGCAGCTTTAGTAGGCGTCCTAGACATCTAAGCCACTTAAGCTGAAAGCAATTTAGCGAGAAAATCGTGGAGATGGACCGATCCTGTTAGATGGATCTAGGGATGGGAACCCAGTCTAAAACACTAACGTGAGATCCAGGTACTTTCAGATGAACCTGCGATTTAAGTTTCTTCCGAGTTAATGTTGAAGACTTGGTACTTTCCACTGGTCACATTGGGGCGAAAACACAAGCTGGGCTGGAGTCGTGCTATAGGCTATCCATCCCGATTAAGCTAATGGATAATTAATTGGTCCACCCCATACCCCTCCCAAGCAGGTTACGAAACATATATAAAATGAATTTTCGTCTCCCCATTAAACAAGTCATACTGTATATTGAGAGAAAGAACCATCTAATTATAACGAGGTATTTCTATGCGCCACTGACCATTTCGTGCGTGTCACAAAACAATCGAATGATGTAGCAAATATTGTCAGACAAACAACTTTCAAACCTGTACATGCATATTGCTGTCTCAGGAGTCGAAAGAGCTTTATGTCAATGCCGCACGGAAAGCGAATTCTATCGGTGGAAGACATGCAGCAACACCAATAAACAAACTTGACGTTTAATATGTAACATATTCATGTACTCACTGTTTTGATATCAGTGTCTCAAATCAAAACAACGTGTTGTTTCTTGATTATATATACATGTAAGCAAAGCATATTTGAATATGTAGACTAAGGCTTTTAAAACTTATTTCTATGCTAGTGGTACTAGCCGAAAACTAGAATTATTAAAAACATTGTCCTAGTTATTTGGCGTGGCTTCCTGCAGTATGTATTATCTGTCATACAGAACAAAATTAAAGCAGTCACCCTTCCATTTTGATAATGTATTCTGAATATTTACTTTTCACGAGAAAGTATGAAAGCGGCTTTTGTGGGGAAAAGGGTAGTTTTGAAAATAAGAGAACAAATCAATATTCAGAAACCTCACTTCTATAATGTCTAATTGAAGCATTTGCGGTACACTGAAACAAATATAGGAAACACCAAAAACACACCTCCAACTGACCCGATAGGCGTGGGTGGAGTTCGACAGAACCACCTTTTTGGTCGGAATGGGTCTGTTTTTTTTTTTTTTTTTTTTTTTTTTTTTTTTTTTTTTTTTTATCAAAATGTGATCTAATTTTTCTGCCATTTTTCAAATTAGCTCAACTTAAGGGGTAAAATTGTACACTTTTTCACAAAAATTTATATTTTTGAAATTGCTAGCTACAGATCTGTCCATTTATCTCTAATTGTCTCTTTGAGCTGGGAGTGGGTTATAAAGATCGTAACCTTTGTCATGTTGAAACTAATATTGAGGATGATTAGAGTTATTTTTCTTGACACGACATCGATCAGACATCTTTTGCGAAAGTAAGATAAATAAAAAAAGAAATGACTTAATTCATCAAAAACGGATTTCAAAAACTGAACGTATTTTTAATCAAAATGAAATTCAATGACAGCTAATATTTTTTAGGAAGTTTGTAAGATAAAGACGTTTACGTACTTCAGCCTCACTAAACACGCCACAAAATCTATCCTGTATTCTTTTTTTTTTTTTCGCAGTTCGGTTTTGCTGGTCATTTCCCCTCTTTCAATAGTACGCGTTGCGTGAGTAAAGCTCCTGTGAGAAAGATAATTGATCATCGTCTGCTACAGAAACCATCTTAAGTGCCAAATTTGATGGCAAATGAACTGAAAAAAATTTTTGGTAGGCATTCCACAACTTTTGCTTATGCAATCTAAGAATTGTCTGGATAAATAAATAGATCACAAAACAATCCTTCTTGCCGTCTTTACACTGCAGACGGTATCTTTTATCTGGATATTTATAAAAACAACTCTTTGAAGAAAAGTTCAGAGTCAGATGCTTTGATAGATTTTGGGAGAACGCGCCATAGTTACAGGTACATGTATCATACCACGTGGATGCCGTATAAAGGTACTATATACATTTTATACAGTATCAATTTCCTTGTAGTCTGTTTAGCATCAGCTGGTCAGTACCCAACTCTTTCGAATGGAAGAGATTCCATTTTCTGGAAAAGTGGACCTTTCTATCACAATGGCATAGATCCTAGATGAAAAAAAAGAAGAACAGACTATTTTACAGTTAAAGGAGCGATGCCCCCCTGACCACCACCGGTTTTTTTTATTGTTGACATCATGATTAACAAAGATATATGCACTAAGGGTTCTGTTGTGACTGTTTTTTGCCTACTTAAATAGCGATGTACACGTACTAATCTTTACGGGTCATTTCTGTACTTGAAATGCCATCATTGTAGCCATTACAAGTGTAGTCCAACTGGTTATAAATGTCTCGCAAGAACAGATTCATCAGCACTGGCTGCAATCGCTTCATTCTCGGCACAGCAGAGGTCATAATCTTAACCAACCAAGGGTTCCAGCTTCGATTTAAGCTTATTGTTGGCAAAGTCCACGTTTTATTCTAATGATCAAGTCAGCACTCTGGAATTGATATTAAAAACCGTTTATCATATATTTAAAATTAACGAGCCTCGGATACCAGTATTTTACAGTCCCCCTTAACCTCTCTGGCTACTGATAAAGAACCAACCTAAAGGCATATCTTTGAATCTGAGCGGCCATTAACTTATAAAAGGCGCCATGCCCATATCCTTGATTAAAACCTATCCATTGTTTATTGATGCCTAATGGCCCCATTTTCGTTATATAGAATACAGAGCGTACCGTCGTCTTTAATGAGGTAATGTTTTGATCAATAAGCGTTGATGATTTTTCTCAAAAGAGTTTATAATGATGATGAACTAGACAATTGCATGTTTCATAGAGTCTCTCTTTTTCGGAGTGAGGGGAATTTCCTTAATTAAAGGTCGGTGAACCAATTCCTTAATTTACATGTATATTGGTCTCTGTTTCCTCGTCAAGATAAATTTTAATGGCACAAAAATTAAGAGGAACCGTGGTTGAGTACAGACACTGGCTTTTACTCCTATTTCCAGCTTATTTCTTCCTGTTAAATCAGACAAGCAGCAAGAATGAATTATAATCCGACTGTTGTTTTCTTTGATTGCGGTGATATATAAACNTGCAGCTCAGTTGAGTCTCATAGACCTTTATCGTGATTGTCGTCACAGTACCACGTGACCCAGATCTGTTGCTTCATTTTTGCATATTGAGGTGAGGTTTACTAAAACGCTTTTTTTCTACTAATAGATTGTTTTTATAATTTTTAAATGGCGGGGATCGATTAAAACATACCTCTAGTGTATAGATTGAGTGCTGTATCTTCAAAATTCGAGAAATGGATTTTTACATGAACATTGTCCTTTAAGGTCGGTGAACCAATTCCTTAATTTACATGTATATTGGTCTCTGTTTCCTCGTCAAGATAAATTTTAATGGCACAAAAATTAAGAGGAACCGTGGTTGAGTACAGAGACTGGCTTTTACTCCTATTTCCAGCTTATTTCTTCCTGTTAAATCAGACAAGCAGCAAGAATGAATTATAATCCGACTGTTGTTTTCTTTGATTGCGGTGATATATAAACCCTTCGCGTTTGAATACAGATATTTAGGTGAAGTTGACCTAAAGCAAGAAGGAGGCTCTAGGGAAACGTAACAAAAGTAAATAAATTAATAAATAAATAACGAAAAATAAGTATCAGTAAATTTATATATATATATATGGATTCAACCGTTTGAACTGGTTAGTGATTTAAAATAAAACCTCTTATCAAAAAACTAATTCATAACAGATGTCGAAATACATGCCAAGTACCAAATGACGTAAAGTAACTTTTGGGAAACAATTTGATGAAGATGATTTTCGAATTTAAGTATTTCTCTTATTTCTTTATTTATTTTTACCTTACGAAGGCACCCAGTGATTCCCAATTAAAACTGTTAAAAGGCTATCAAGTACGGTTTTCATGGTGTCAGCGATAGCAATCGGAATATTCAATGACACTTACAATGTCTGCGTATAAAAAAAAGCAGATTATTTCAAGAGTGAGAATTTGGGACAGAGACATTTTCAGAAGGTCGGAAATATTGATAACATCCATTGCGCATTAAAATGATGAAAAGACATAAACAGAGCGATAACGAGACCTGATTACTAACATTTTGCTTCGTGCGGTGTCGTGCACGTCAGATGGTGCTTCTTGACTACAACCACTAGACTATTTAGATAACAAAATGGCAGATTCTACTATCTTATACTATCTTACATTTTTCGGCGCTGTGACAAACATGTAAACCTCCAATTCAGCCACCTATAATGACCCGAAATATTTCTGACGGGAGCGACACAAACAAAGGTAGCCTCTTGAGTGAAATAGCATGGGAACGGCCATTACCGTACTTCTTATCACTCGCGTGTTTGGAGCACATGACTAATGATGATGAGTGTGAATCTGTTCGTCTCGGCCCATTTGTCACCTTTCCCGACGTCCTCTCCGCGTATAAAACGAAGGCGATTACCTGAAAAAGGCTTGCATTGCTCAGTCGTCGTTTACTCGCTTGCAACCGTGCCCCTTGCTTTGTGGATCTACCCCTCGCGAGACGATGAAGGTTTTGATGGTTTTTGCCGCTCTTCTGGCCGTCTCCATGGCTACTGAGAGGCCAGGATATTATGGCTCATACCATCCCAGGTAAGTTTGTTTTTGGTTTTTATTTCCATAATTAAAAAAAAAAATCAAATTGACATAAATATGATATTCTGGATTGTTTTTGCATGTCTTTGCGTAATTTATGTCGAAACATATGCTATAGTCGAACTTGTTTCTCGTTGCGCTGTGCACAATTTGAAAAGGGAATGTTTTGTGTAGATAGATCTGTAGTATCAAACTTTTTCAAAAGCCCAACGTCAAGAAACTACCATACAATTCTTTTTACCTTTTTAACTATTCCAATTATGAACAACTTATTTCTTTGCTAAAGTATTTCTTAGTTTGCGTTGTCTAATAATTAAGTCAATCCTTTTTTTCACTTTTGAAGCAATTCGATCATTTTTCGTTTTCTTTCGATTTTACTTACTTCTGTGTCAATCACACTATTCGCTTACATGATCTATTTCATAAAATTAACAACTATGAAAATCGAAGTGTTTGTCATTTTAGTCCCTGTTGGTTCATGCTTTTCTTCAAGGCGTTGTGTATTTTGTGCGCATACTTGCAATAGTTACGTCCTCATAAATATAATAATCAAATATCAAATGATTATACAAGTATACTGGCCAATGACGATTGCAAATTAAATTCACTGCTTCATTCTCACCAGGTACCTATCCAACCCAAGAGGTGTTGGTCCCAAACCAGACTCTGTTCGCGCAGGCATTGCCAATGCTCAGGCCGTCGCCGAGGCTAATAAGAAATCTTCTCAGCAAAGGGCAGCTGAGGCCGCTTCTCTTGCCGACCAGGCCGCCGCCGCTCAAAAAGCCGCCGATGAGGCCGCTGCCGAGGAAGCCGCTAGACTCCAACAATCTCAGGAGGCTGCCGCCGCTGCTGCCGCCGCCGAAGAGGAGGCCGCTAAACAGATCGCCATCGCCGAAGCCGCCGAGGAGGAGAAGAAAGCTCAGACAGAGGAGGCCGAGAGGCAATCTGCGCTTGCCGTCGAAGCAGCTGACGCTGCTGAGGCCGCCAAGGCAGCTTACGACGCCTCCAAAGCCGAGCAGGTCGCCGCTAGCGACAAGGCTCAGGAGGCTAGCGCTGCCTCCGCCGCTTCCCTTGCTGCTGCCGAGGAGGCAAAGGAGGCTTATCACGCGGCTAAGGCCCAGGCTGACGCTGCTAACCAGGCCGCTGCTCAAGCCGCTTCTGAGGCCGCTGCCCTAAGAGCCGCGTACGAGGCCGCCAAGAGGGAAGCTGAAGCTATCCTTGCTGGTAGCGCCGCCAAAAAGGGTTACTATTAAAAACTGGTTTTATTAAGGTAAACTAAAAAAATTGCCCTCAAAAAAAGAAGTTAACAATTAGAAATTCATTTTGCAGGATGCACAGAAAGCGCACTCTTTATTAAGCAACAAAGTTTTGATCATCTTCTTGTGCCAGTGTTAAGTTTTCGGTCCCTTTAAGCATCGCGGTGCTGCGTTCTCGCTCAGCGCATTATTTGCGGCACGATGCGCGCTCTCGTATGAGACAGCTCAGGCCTCCGTCTCATTTGCTGATCGCGCCCCCTCTCCCCCACCCCCCCCTCCCTCAAACACATACACCACCCTCCCTTCCCCCCCCCCCCCAGCCTCGCCCCTTCTCACACCTCATCGATAAAGGAGGATACGATGTGGTCTTAAAGAGCCATACAGGACGACGGTATGTTCTTGACACGAGTTAGTTTTGTTCAAAAAGAAAAGAAATTGTTTTACATATTAACAACAATACATGCATATGTCTGTTTATGTTTTAAATGAATTCGTTTTTAACATTTAAGCTTTAGTCATCATTTAGGTTTAACTATTATACTTTACCACCGCCTTGCAAACACGAAGGTTATTATAACGTTAACATAACGTTTTTTTGTTATATAAACGTTATGGTAACGTAAATAACGCTATGTGTTTGTTGGGGTAGCACTTTAATCTTTGGGTTGCGATGTTGGTGAAAAATGTATAATTATTACTATTACTTTATCTATTTTTTTTAGCAAACATGTTTAGTGCGAAATTTCATATTAGACTAAGGTTAAGAATCGAGTAGAGTTTAACATAATGACACCGACATTTTTTTCAGATCATTGGTGGACAAGACGAGCACTGTGTGGGACGACGTTTTGACCAATTTTTAAAGAATCCATGAGAGCCTGACCCAGCGTGATCTCTTGATGAATTTTGATAAATTCATTTAATCGGGGTGTCGGTTACAGTACCATTTGGCTCGATTTTTACTACATTATCCTGGATTGCGGGAAATATATACTGCTGGAATAAAACGAAAAACTTATCGTATAAATATTTTTTGTATCTTTTAATACAAACACCAAGTACGCGTATAGCATGGTTATTTGAATGAGGTTAGGTATATGCATAAAGGCAAGCTGTTTTTGGAATTCACTAAAATATGCCCCATTGAAACTATAGGCTATTTAAACAAAATTTCAAATTATGAAAAAAAATTGCATTTCTCAGAGCTTCACGTGCAGTGTGCATTATTATCATGCAGACATCAGGTGACTGTTAGGTGCTTATTCACTGAAGAAGATTAAAAGAAAATCCATTCTAAATGCAACGTTAGTATACAATTTTCTCGAAATAGATTCAACACAATGTGTTTTAAAATGACTTATTAGGTGTAAATTGATTTGCAAAGTACGAAAAGCATGCAATGTAGATAAACCACTTGATACTGTCGCAAAAAAATAAAAAAAAATCTGCCATTTGAACAAATTTTAAAAAAAAGTTGCCATAAAAGCATCTATTGTAGCCGTCATCTAGATGCACCGATATATCCAATTTAATGAAGATAGTGGCACTTGAAGATACCCAAGAACTATTTCGCCTGACTGTCATACATCAGGGTGAAGGAGGTTCGCGAAATCATTCTAATGATTGCTCCGTGTCATCCGTAATGGACCGGGTCAGGCCTATATGTCCCTTTCACGCCATGGGGGACAAAGGGTACGAATGTGTGGTGTCTCTTTGACAGGTCAACAGCCATGACGAGTACTGAATGAGAGAGAGAGAGAGAGAGAGAGAGAGAAGGAGGACAGGTATTTTGGATGGAGAAAAAAGCGTAATAGTGAATGTGTGTGTGGGTGTGTGCGTGTGTGTGTGTGCGTGCATGTACATGCGCCCGTGCTTGAGAGAGATTAAGAGAGGGAGAGAATGGAGGAAATAGATTGATTTTTTGGAAGGAGAAAAAAACCGTAGTAGTGAATGTGTGTGCGTGTGTTCGTGTGTGCTTGAGAGAGACAGGGGTGGGTTTGGTTGGGGGTGAATAGTTGAAGGAAGGGAAGACGAAAGAGGAACAGGGGCGGATCCAGAGTTATTTTTTGACAGTCTTCCAGTTTATCTTTGTTGATCCGTCCTCCATTTTTGACCGTCTTCCGACAGAAAAAATTAGATACCCGTCAATGTAAACTTGAAAATCTGACCGTCTTCCGGAAGACCCAGAAGACGCCCTAAATCCGCCCCTGAGGAAGACTAAAATATAGAGACAGAGAGAGGGAGAGAGAGACTATTAAACGCTTACATGTAATACCAAAGTTTCTTGATATTCCTCTCATTCACCAGGATAATAAAAACTTGATTTAATAATCTTTTCGCACGTTTTTCTTTGGGGGAATGACATCAAGTGACACAGACACACGGTAGTCGAACAAGGCGTTATTGTTGTTGGTAAATTGGTTCTAGTGACTGGACCCGTCCCCGCTATTTTATGCTGTTGGTCACGAACCAATACACTTGCTAACTCATCCCGTACCAGGACTGGGTGGCGTATGTGGAAAAACTAGCATACAAAATGCCTATATATAATTTTGGGTAACAGTGAATGTAATTGTTTAGAGAAATTCCCCATTTGTCCCTTAGAAGACACCAAACATTTAATTTTGCCTGACATTTACATAATGGCTCGGCGATTATCATGGGGTGCAATTATATATGTGTGCTCCGAACTTCACTGTTTATAAGAATCGTTTACACGCGTTGAGTAAAAATTCCGTGACACAATCTATTTTGGCACGAACTTTAAAAGAGTGAGGTCAGCATATTTCATAAACACTGGTCATAAATTTTTGAGTCTAGTGAGTTTTGTAATTGATTATCATTATGTGACTTAGGCCCATGAAGACCTATATAGTGACTATCGCGTTGTCACTTAATTGCTGTAAAATGTCATGAGAAATTCGAGGTCACGAAAAAATGTTTCAAACACCAACGCGAGAACAAGAACGGAAATGAAAAACCATTTAACAAACATTTGTGGACTGCGTTCCGAGTGATGTGAAAAAGTAAAATTGACATTGGCTATTTTGGGGAAAATATCGAAAAATACAACATTGGATGACATAGCGCCAATTATTCCCTGATTATTTTATTCATATAATCCTCCAATATCAACTCACCAGCATTATAGCACGGCACGCCTAGGCCTTGGTGCGACTTGGTCTCTCACGACTTGACTTCTGCTTCAGTCGCATTGCGGCACGAAATTACTTAAATGAGACAAAAACACCAAATCTTGAAACACGTATTCACGAATTCATTTCTCCATTCACTTCATCGTATGGTCAATCATTTACATGCTGAACAAACCACATCAAGGCAGATGTTTTACCGGTACATATTGGTATTAGGCCTAATGTGAATAATACCTTTCACTAACACATGCCATTTAAATTAACATGTATTTATGAACTCTTTAATCTTATCAAATAGCTTAATGCATTGATGGTTAAAATGAATACATCAAATGAAATTTAAAAAAAGTAAAGGCCAACAAAATTACATCACTATTCATTTATGGTGTTCATTAAGTAATTGTTGAGTGTGATGTGGGCAAAGGAACAGTTTACGGCACCCAAAGAAATACAAAGCTTTTCAGCGCTTTCAGTTCTATCATTTCCTTTAAATTCATCTTTTCATCTATCACACCGATTGCATTTTGTTTGTCTTTTATTTATTGAAACGATGTGCCAAGATAGTTATTGAGACTTAATTGTTTGTTATGTGAAGAAAACAACAACAAAATACGAAAAGCATGAACGGTGTCACAGTGGCAGAGGCTTAGCACCGAACAAATCAAATAGCTTATTCATAATTCATTGTGTTAGCTGTTCTCTTTTAGTCCTTCACAATCACAACTTGTCTTATTGAAAAAGATGAACATCCAGTTATTCCAGCTGTGCAGCTTTCGTAACTTGAAAGATTTACCTGGGATGTGACCTGACAGGGTAGAGAGAAGGGCAGACCGCGTTCATATTTGTGTTGTCACATTAAACGTGTCGGTTCCCATCTGCTGCTACGGCAAAAATTTATGTTCAACACGCACATAATCGTCGACAGTGGTGAGAATTATCTGAGGGGCAAAGTCCTTACTCTTATTGCCTTCCAGCTAACCTGAGGAGACTGGGGTCATGTGGTGTAGTGAATAAAGTACACAATAAATAAATAAATAAATAAATAAATGCCCTAAGAGTCTTAGCTACATCAATCAGGTTTCAATATACTAACATATTCATAACCTAATAGCACCATTTCAAAAAGCAAGAGCACGCAAGAGGGCGGGGGAGGGGGGCAAAATTGATCGAAATGATGCATTCTGTTCATGATTCAATTTTCAAAATTTCATATCTGACATCTGACAAAACACCCGCTATTAATAAAATAGGTTTATTGCATAAAACTTTATAATATTAAAACAAATTAATAAAGTGAAAACTTGATTTGATTTGAATGATAACAATAGTAAAAACAGTTAGGATGCCAATGTACTGTGAAATTAGGTCCTAACACCGAGAAATACATTTAATAGTGCACTTGGTCACCTTTCATGATTCACTTCATTACAGAGCACCACAAACTTTATCCATACACAAAACTTCATAAATAAAACTTTAAAATATCTTTAGGTGGTAACCGAATTCAAAGGGTACTTTCAAATGGCTAAGGGCACACTTGTTGTTGTCACATCAAACAAGAGTCCAGATGCCTGTTAATGTCACTTGGCATCACTAAATTACTGCACACAGGACAGGGCACCTTGGTCATAGCCGTAAAGGTCATTTCAGACTGACCCAACCCTGATGGCTCTGATTGACCACTCTTTTCTGAGAAACTGGACATACTTCCTAGGTTCATCCCCTTTTCATGAATTTTATGAGAACTAGGTCCAGCCTGGTCTTTACATGACCCATGTTTGGAGCTCTCTTCCATACTAACACTGAAGAGGGATATTGCACCTGTGTCAGACATATCTTTATGAGGATTAGATGAACTGCCTGAACTATGATTTGCCTTAGTAGAAGGTTTTACAGTTTCAGATGGCAGAACAATGTTCTTTTTCTGATTTTCACTCTTATTCTGATTCTCATTCACAAGATTCACGTCTTTTTCATCGTGGTTGGTCTTTCTAATACCCAAGGCAGCATAGATGTCATACTTTGGCTTTTTAACTCCCAGAGCTGCATTACTGTCATGTTTGGGCTTCTTCTGGAGTTGACCACCACCTAGTGCTTTGGGTATCGCCTTCTTCTCAAGATTGTCCAAGAAACGCTTTCTGGCATTTATCACAGTGTCACGTGTTGGGGTACTCATGCCTGAACTGGAGCATTCTGGTTTGTTACTACTGTTTGTAGATTCTGTAGAACTTCCAGGCACAGATTCTGGGCTTTTAGAGTGATTTTCTATGGAGTTTAATTTAGGTAAAGTTGGTTTAACTTCAGTGGTATTTGTGCTACTGTTACCAGCAGTGCTACCCAGTAAAATCCCCTTTCCTTTAAACATTTCTCTTATATCTGCTCCATATTTGGATTTTTTATCAGGAACTTCTTTAGTTTCAGACTCTGTGGAATCTTTGGATGTCTTTTTACCCTTTTTCTTCCCATAATCCTCAGGTTCTTTTATCTTATGGTAGGTGCCGCCACATGTCCTCTGGTGATCTGCCCACCAGGGGTCTCTGGGTGACGGGGCTCTGTTCATTGCACGTCTGACCATTCCAAAATATGGTTTTCTTTTTTGACAGGGCCCATCACACTTCCACCAATGCTGCCTGTAGTTATCAACTTCATCATGGAAAGAGTGATAAATACTGATACTGGTCCCTGTTTCTTTGTTTATTCTGTTCATATGCTTACAGAATTCAGGTCCATGTCCATCATGATCTTTATTATTGTCAGTGACAAATAAGTATGCATGGATCATTTCGTGTAATAAGGTCTCCACCAAGTCCTTCCTTGGCCTGAGTTTCAGCAAGGGCAGGCTAAGTCTAATGGAGCACAGGCCTCCACGCCCCTCATAGCAACAAAGTCCAGCACAGAGGGTCATACGGGGGCTCCACCGGACCTCCACCCCAGCCAGCCTCCCCCAGAAGTAAGTGTCATTGAACTCTAAAAACAGGGCCCTTGCATCGGGATTGGGATCTAGAAGCTCCCAACGCTCATCCACCAAAGATATGGTCTTGTTGTTTATGCCTTTTGCTGGGCTTCTACATGATGATGATGATGTTGACAATGAGGACGATGGTGGTGATGATGGCAGTTCCTGGTTGAACTGTTCCTGGAGCTGCTTGGCCAGAAGTGTGTCGTTCACAGTCATATCGTCACTGGTTGGGCCTCCTGATTTAGAAGTGGAGCATCTTTCTCGATCATACTGCTCCTGCAGTTTCAGTGCCAAGGCAAAGTCATCCATGAAAGGCCTAAAAAGAAAAGATTTCAGTGGTTTGACATCAATTTAATTTTTAAAAAGGAAACTCTTTTTAACTTTACTTATCTATATGTAAGGTACTGGATAAATGAAGAACTTACCCATAAGAAGTTGTTATGAAACGGATTTTACTGCTACTCATCTATTTCGTTTTCTTTGTGAATGTCGATCATTCAAAGGAATCGAATTAAGAATTTTTCATCTGAATGTACACAGTGATATTATTTACCTTTTAACTGTACAGATATGACTAACAAATGAACCCAAAGAAAACTCGAAATCCCATCAACTCCAAAGCTTTGAAACTTCAAAACAGGCTCGGTCAGGAAAATGCTAAGTTAACTATACATTTGCGTATCAACTTCGCTAATCATACATGCGTAGTGTAAAGAGATGTGTGAACAATTTAAAAATTTAAAAAATTGACAAACATCAATTAGTAGCATTGTATTAATCAAAATAAGATAATATCGGTTTATGTTCTAAAAAAAATAAATGTATACATTCTAAACTTTATTCCTAATATTGTACTGACTTTACTGGAAGACGCGTCGGCCATATTGGTCATCATGTTGAAGCAGGCAGTACAAGTTTGCTCGCCAGTATGGTATGTAATTTGTTTGTATGACATATAGTTTTATGTTAAAATTTTTAAATACACTCATATGTAGCAAATTAAGTCACACAATCCTGATGTCGCAGCCTAGAAAACCGCATATACCTCATGCCGTTCACTGTAAACCCCCGGCGCCGGTTGCTCTCCTCTTTTCAACTGAGCAATACAGTCCGCTTTTGATACTGCTTTTAATAAAACAAGTACTCAACGGTAATGTCAGCTTTTCATTGCCAGTGTAAATATGTGTAATAAATTTATATACTTTGTTATTTTCACACGTTTTGCACTTACCGTAGTATAGTAAGATCCACACATTTCAGACGAGCATTTGTGAAAGTGAATTGAATTTGCACGCCACAAAACGCATGCTGTGCCATTTATGGTCTTACGAACCCTCTCTTTCAAGTTTGAAATTTGTGTTTTTTTTTTGTCAGAAGAAAACAGCAAGTTTGATTATGGCCACAAAACAGCAAACGTTAACTGATTAATATTTATATGACAATCGGGCCTTATCCCAGAGCATGTTTGGTAGTGAAAAGACAGAAATGCATGTATGTCTGTACTGTTTAATTGGGTAATTTATTTGCTTTGAGGTTTGCCCTTGCTGGAGTTACATCCCTGGCAAGGATATCCTCTGTCAGTTTTTAGAAGAATTTGAGAATAACTATACCAAATAAACTTGTAAATTACATGTCAAGGATATTTTGGCATATTACAAAAAATAAAATGATTTTCTTATTATTCAGGGTGCCAAATCGGAACATGGCTACTTTAAAAGACAGTAAGTACATTTGTTTAAAAAAAAATATGCCATGTTGTAGAATTTTATTTATGGGTCATATACAATCTGTATACATTCTTTAAATTGAAAGTTGCTTTCTAGGACTCATGATATTAAAGTACTGAATGTGTAACAATAAATTACACCATAAGTACCATACTAATGGCAGTGTATTCAAAATTTTTAACAAATTATTTTTCTTCATAGTTTCAATCAGACTGAAGTCAGTCAGCAACATTCAGAAGATCACAAAGTCAATGAAGATGGTGTCAGCAGCCAAATATGCACGTGCTGAGAGGGACTTGAAGCCAGCCAGGCCTTACGGCAAGGCAGCTCAGGGTGAGAGAGTCCTTTTGATAAGATAGTTTTTTGCTGGTTTGATAATGCTTGTTGTTATTTGAACCCATTTAGGTCAGAAATTTTTGTCAGACTGATGAACGTACCACTGACCCTAATTTTGAGGAAACTTAAATCTGAAATTGCCCACACTGTGGATCTGACATTTCCTCCCCTCTAAAGTTTTATCAAAAATTCATATCAAAGAAAAAATATTGTCTACAGACCCTGTTTATAGATTTGTCCTATTGTTGAAAAACTTATCAATTCTGTCTGGCCTTAGATTAAAATTTTGGTGACTTGTAGCATTTCAGAATAATGTAGACATATGTCACATAAGTGACAGCTTTCCACAAATGTACCTGACTGATAATATACATAGATAAGGATTACATATGTATCTTTGATAGCTTCATACATACCTCAATGTGATCCCACAGTACAGCTTAGTCCTCATTTCAAATCATCCCATTCCAGCCTTCTACGACGCAGCTGAGGTTGAAACCTCAGACAAGGGCAGCCACTTGATCGTTGCGGTGACGTCAGACAGAGGCCTGTGTGGTGCCGTCCACTCCAGCATAGTGAGGGCCATTCGTGCCACCCTGAATGAGACCCCTGCTGGGGAGGAGACCAAACTGATACTAATTGGGGACAAGGCAAGGGGCATGCTGCACAGGTGGGCTGGAGGTTCAGACACGAGTTCTTTTCTACAGAATCACAGATTTTGAGTTTTTTAATTCAATTCTTAATAAATATAATAATTCTTAATAATATAAATTTGGATGATGATGATGATGATGAATTCTGATGGTAGCTCCAAGAGAGTCGAATGATTAAGTATTTGGTACCTTGTTCAGAGACTGTTCTTTTTGAAACCCAAAAGATTAATCTGTATCACCCTTGGCTTACTTGTCATGTACCCTTTATGTGAAGTGTAAAAATTTGCATAAAATTTGCCTTAGTGTATTGCAGTCTAGACTCGTCTTGTTGTATGTATATACTTGCCAGACTGTACATTTTCGCAGCACATGCTGGCATATTAGCCACATTTTATCATATACTTTTATAAAACATGAATTTAGCTAACATTTCATTTCTGTTTTTTTACATTACAGGCAACATGGCAGCAAAATATTAATGACATTTTCGGATGTAGGGAAGAAACCTCCAACGTTTAATGATGCTTCAGAGGTTGCTAACCAAATTATGAATTGTGGGTTTGATTTTGAGCGTGGATCAGTTTACTATAATGTTTACAAGTAAGTGGTTTTCAAAGTGTGAACATTTTCTTCCAACTTTTACTACAGTTTTTTTCTTAGAATTTTTGGTGTTAAAGATTATTATTGCTATTTTATTATTTTTTTGTTGTTGTTGTAAAATTTTCAGTAATTCATATCTGTTAAGAATTGTTCACAGTAGTGTTATTAATTTCACCAAAAAGTACGAAGGATGAAAATTGGAGAAAGAAACTTAAATTTTGTGTGACGAATTGAAAAATGTGTAACTTTCATTTTGAAACTAGATGTGAAATGTCTGCCTTCTAGGTTTTTTTTTTATCCTGTGGCTTAAAGTTTTTGTCAAACAATTTATTTCAAACATACGTCATAATTTGCCTGTCGGTTTCAGCTACGTACCATCACACAATTAATTTGAAATATCTATAAATAATAATCATTGTCCTCTGTGACTTTCAGATCTGTTGTGTCCTACCAGACCACCACTCTCCCCATCCACTCCATGTCCGCTGTCACCAAAGCTAAGAACATGGGCATGTACGACAGCGTAGATGACGAGCTCCTGAGGTCTTACAGCGAGTTCCAGTTTGCAAGCCTCATATACTATGCCATGAAGGAGGCTGCCACCAGTGAACAGAGCTCTAGGATGACTGCTATGGACGGTGCCAGCAAAAACGCCGGTATGATTTTTTTGAGGTTTTTTTTAGACTTTTCCTTCTTTGGCTTGACGTAGAGTCAAGCTGTTTTACCATATTGAATGTTTTTTTTTTACGGTCGCTACATTGTATTAAGTTTTGAAAAAAAAGTATGTAATAGCATTGTTCTCTTGTTTATCAGTTTTAGACTTGTAAAGCCTTGTGAGTAAGTGAAAAAAAGTCATCATTAACTTCCCATGAAGGGTTTTTAAAATAACACAAAAATTATGTATTGGGTTTATATACTTCACTGTGTAGTCACTGCTGTTGACATTGTTGTTATTTGTTGTCATTCAGGTGAGATGATAGACAAGTTAACCCTGACCTACAATAGAACCAGACAGGCCGTCATCACCAGAGAGCTCATAGAAATCATCTCAGGAGCTGCTGCTGTATAAAATTAAAGCCAATTAGGAAACCTAGGGATATATCTACAAATTGTAAATTGATCTTAAGCAAGTATTGTCATTATTATTTAGATTTCAACGCCTTGGGGAAACTCAGTTGAAAGGGATTTTTGTCCATAGGGATGGAAATATTGATGATTTATTTTCCCAGTGTGTGCACACGTTTTGATCTTTGTTACAGCAGTTCCCATAGGTGGGATGCTCTCAACGGATTGGAATAGAAGAATAGACTTTTTGGTGCCTGGCACGTTTAATGTTGAAAAGACTTGTGAATATAAAAGAACCAGTAGAAGAGAAATGGAACAGATTTCAATTATGCGTTTTAGTGGCCGTTTGTTTCACAGTGGTATGGGAGCTGATACAGGTTGAAGATCTTTCGGACTTGATGGCATCACTATCAAGGGTATTGTAGGATTTTTTTGAAATAAAACCATTTCTCTTGACCAATAGAGGCATTTTTGTGCATTTGATTTCTTAGAAGTGCAAGTGAGGAGATTTCTTTAATGTACCTGATTGTAAAGGTTTATTGTAGCAGGAGAGAGTACTAAAAACTTTTTCGTATTTACCGCGAGTCTGAAGGCAAAAATATTACTTTTTTTTAAACAGTTAAAAAAGGGGCGGTGGGGTTAACCAATCTCCAGTCAGTTTAGTCACTGTTTTGTTTCATGTATAAGTCAAATAATTTCGATGTGGAATGTGGGTTTTAGTTCACTTCTCCATCATTTAAAGTAACAACACATGAATGTAAGCCAGCACTAGCTTTTAACCAAGTTTAAGGAATACTGACCTTAACTTAATATGCAATCTCCCTTGAGCATACAAAGCAAACATAATTACAAACATATAAAGTGAAATCCAATTTCACTCGCATGCCAGTGAGTGAAAGATGAAACAAATACTTTGCAAATCAATCATTTTATTGATAGGACAATGTAATACTGGCTTCTTCTCTGGACATATCCATGAGTTGGATACTATGTTATCATTAAGTCTACCTATCAAAATATGTAGTTCCTAACATCTTAAGACTGATACACAGTATCAAAGTCTAACCAGAAGACTGCTTAATACTGGCCAGTAAAATATTAAAGATCTGGACAGTAATAACTGCCAAAGTACTGGATACATTGAAGCATTGATCAACAAGCAATAATACTTTCTTTTCTTTCTTTGACAGCTACTCTTGATATAGTGGCGAAAGTTGGCAGGATTTACAGTCTTCATTTTGATCATTTTTTCAAATGGTCTAGTAAAAGCAATGAGGAACTACAAGCTATGTTTTCAGGATTTTCAGTTTTTACAACTTTCACCCATGTGGACATCATTTACAAGAAAAAAGAAAGTACCAGTATAAGTGATAGTGTATGCCTTGGGTTAGTTCTGATATCAATTACACTGACTTATCCAACATCATTTAATTACAAATGACAGACTTCCTTTTCAATTAAACAGTTTAAATTTATAACATATCTGGCAGACTGCTATACATTCTGGTTTAATAAAGTATCCTCGGTAAACACTATCAACTGCAAGCATAGACTGGGTTCATTTTCAGATTTTAATTTTTCAACAACATAAATAGTTTAGACTTAGGCAACACATTCCACAAGGCAAACTGTTTGTGCATTATACAGTATTCTAAGGCACAGTTTTTACAAATGTAGTGGAATACTACAGTATATCCAAGCCTTGGTCAATCCACAATGAAAGCGATTATTTGAGTCATGACAGTGCACAACCCACACATCTTGTGTAATATTTGCATAATTTTGGCTCGAGTCATAATATTTTGCTTTTTTGTACGACGACTTTCTCCAATATGGAAAGAAATTGGCAGTCATTCAAAAGTGATAAAAAACAGTTCTATAAATATTACACAAAATGCTCGTTTCACTGACCTGACTCAAATGACCACTTTCTTGTGGAATGACCCACCTTTTAATTGCAAACAATGACTACCAAAAATGAATGTCTTTTCACATTTCTGTGATGTGTATACTGTCTAGTACATTTTGATGAAGACATTTTCAATTACTATTAAAAAATTGGAGATAAAGTTGTAAACACTGACCACTAAAAAATAACATCTTCCCATGATTCTCTGACATGTATATTGTCTAGTCCATTCCTGATAAAGACATTTACATGTAGTATTTAAATAATTGGAGATATGGTTGCTTTTACAAAACGTGAAAAAAAAAAAATGAACTGAACTGAACTGAATGAGAAACCCCATCCTAATACTTCCCCTTCTCCAATTGTAAGTATAGATTCAGTTTTGACAAGCACTCTGGATTTCAAACAAATTTACCCCAAAACTTCACATTTCATCATAACCCCCCCAAACTCCCAAAACACGCAATCAAAACACCAAGAAACATTGTCCTTATGCGATGGTGCACCCACATCAAGAAAAGCAACCTTCTATATGATTGTGCACCCATGTCAAGAAACCCAGTCTTCTATATGATGGTGCATCCACAGCAGCAGGACTGTGGATAGTTGGACGTCCACACCTTATTCTCAAAGCCATATACAAAGAAGTTGTAGTCCTTGCCCTTCCAGGTGTACAGGCTTTCTGTCACTGGGATGATACGCACTTGGTGACGCTGGAATCAAGTAAATAAGAATAAACACTCTCAGGAAGTTATGAATTTCAACAATGCAATAGATGATTTGAGGTTCATCGTCCATGAAATGATTTCACAGCCGAATCTAAAATCCTACATTGTTTTCAACTGTAGATGGTTCAGCAGCTTGGTACACATGTAAATTGAAATTGAAAACCTCCATATACTCAAACAGTAAATACAATTATGCTCAGATGGCTTTGTCAGCCAGAGCTTAAGTGAAACACAAGGGGAATTTTTGGTTTTTATTTTTTTTTCTTTCTATTTTATTTTAATATTATTTAAAAAAAAATTATTCTATTTATTATTTTTTGCATAATGATCAAGAAAAGCACAATTGCCATAACTAAGAGCTGTGTTCACACCAAAGACAATTCCATTTTAGTTACTCCCTACCTGCAACAAAATCCTCTCCATCTGGAACTGTGTGTTGTGTCTCTCTACCAGTTGTTGGGATGCCTGGTTGATGGTTGCATCTGGGAAGTGGTTGATGGGCCAGACACGAGGAAGTTCCTCCTCGAAGGCCACTTGCCCAGTCACTGACCGGATCAGTTCATCAGGGAGGGACGTACGCTCTACGATGTGGTCATTCATGTTGTTGGTCCTGAAAAGGGCATGTTAGTTTAATTATATATATATATATATATATATATATATATATATATATATATATATATATATATTTTCATGAGTGGTGAAAAATGAAACATATAACTTGTTTAATATCTCATAATAAACTACATGCAAAAAATCTATCATAACAGATATTTCATGAACTCAAGACCTTATCTGTGGGTAAAATAATTTTACAGTATTTTGTAGTCAGGAAGAAGTAAATTAGATCTTCAATAATGATCTCATTTAATCATCAGCTGTGTTAATAAAAGCTGGTCCTGGTGCTTTATTCATCTTGTTCGCACAAACATGTCCACTTACCATGTGATGGTCAAGCGTATGAAGCACTTTAAGTTCCCCTTGGCGTCACAGGTACGGCAGGGGACTTGACCGTGACCATGACAGACGTGACACCTGAAAGAGATCAACACAGTTAAATACATTATTATACACCAAATGTGTGCCCTGTGATAGGAACACAGGTGGTGTGAGGCATCTGTCCTATCGCCCACCTGATGCACACACAGACAAGTCCTGCTCATATGCAAGCATGTGTGCACACACACACACACACACACACACACACACACACATGGCCATGACACACACACAGTCTCTCTCTTTAAGCACAATGCAAGGACAACTACAGCTCATGAATTTTCAGTGTACTAAATTTTCTAACAAAAGCTACAACTGTATGGGAGATGCTCTGATCAAAAGCACTAAAAATATTCATGTTTTCATAAATATGAACCCTTTGCATATAACATTTTCTTAATTGTAGTTTATAGCTACATTCAAGTTATGTTAGAAAACTCAAGGAAGAAAGACCAAGGATACAGATGCTTATGTCTATCCATGACATCAAAATGTGGCATTGCCTGGCATTCCACCCATGACATAAAACTCTGGCATTACCCATGATATAAAACTGACATTATCTGTCATTCCACCCGTGACATAAAACTCTGGCATTACCCATGATATAAAACTGACATTATCTGGCATTCCACCCATGACATAAAACTCTGGCATTACCTAGCATTCCCAGAACCATGACAGACATGACAAGTGTGGTGATGATGGTGTCCATCCTCGTAACGCTCCACGGTCCCATGTCCGTGACAGTGGTGGCAGCGACTCTGGAGAAAAAATGTGATGCTTGAAAACTATTGCTTAATATTTATTAAGTGTTTTTTAATGAAATGTTCAATCTCTTTTACCCAATATCTTTCAATAATGAAATTTTTCACTTGTGATACTTCGCTACATTAAAATGAATACAAGAAAATTGTGAATTATCTTTTTCTTATGACAATTTAGATGAACCTTGAGAGAGAATCACATCCTTTTTAATTAACTTTAAGAAAAAAACATTAACTAGTAAATAAAAGTTTACACACAATGTCATAAATAATCCATTTCTATAGAATGCAGAGTTTGCAGCATGCTAATACAGACAAGTTTTTCTTTACTTACATGTCCACAGCCATGGCAATGGTGGCATCTCACACGGCCATTCCCAATACAGTCATGGCATGGCTGAAATGTTAATTATTGTCATTATGTCCTTATGTCTAAGTTGGTCTTCCACAACAACTTTTTGTTTTAGATGTTAAGCCACAGTCTTTGCCTTTGAAATCAATGCTGATTAACAGTTGTGCTTCTGATATTCTAGTACATATGTACTATATGTATGTACATACAAGTATATATATTTTACCCGTAATACAGTAAATGAGAGAGAGAGAGAGAGAGAGAGATACCTTGACAGAGGCAGTGTGTGGGACCTCCACATGGGAGTGTTGGGTCTTGAACTTTGTGGGTGGTTGCACCTGTATGTCCCAGGGGCCTGGGGCAGGGCCGTTATGTGGGCCGTCAATTGGCTGTCCTGTTATAATGAAAAATTAGGCAATTACTATGAATGATAGCAATTACAATTAGCAAAAAAGAATTTAACTGAATTTTAAATAATCTTCTAGTGCATAGGTTTTTTTTATTGTCTCTTAATTGTACATTGACGATGACTATAGAAGTACATTTGTCAAAATTGCTAAATACGACATCCTGCACAAATGTACAAAGTGAGATAAAAAATGGAAATATCCCTTTTAAAATTTTGAATTTTCATACACCTTCAGTTGTTACTGTTAAACTGAATATACAAACCTATGTAAGGCTCATATGCCCAAGATGTCTGTCGTTTCTCGGTGAAGGTCTCCAATGTGTACTGGAAAATTCAAACATGATAATTAGAGTAAAAAGTAAAAAGACTTGGTAGTCTAAATGTTGTGTGGTGTTGGCGTAAGACACGAAAGCTGAAAGTTTGAGCTTGTGCTTAACATTTTTTAAAATTTGTTATACGCTATTTCTTGATGAAAATGTTGTTTGATAAAAAATGATAATCAACACCATGTGTTCAGGATGGAGTTACCTATTAGACTGACATATACTACTGTGAGTGGTACTAGTACAATTTGCTACTCACAGGACAACAATACAACAGATGAGAGTATTAGTAAATGGAGGAGGTTAGAGGAGATTATTCCACTATAATTTTTAGGTTCTAACATATATTTCAATGAGATTTTTCCCCAGCATGAATTCTTAAAACAACATCAACATGTAAAAGAGCTTACATGGAATGCACTGCTAGACTGTAGGTCTCTAAACACCATCTCTTTAGCAGTGCCGCTACCGTAGCAACAGTGCTCGGCTACATACTGCAACATGGCTTCACGTGCTTGTTCCTCTGTTATCACAGGTACGCTGAGGTAAGAAAGAAAATACTGTACATACTGTGTTTGCTATCTGGGGTAGCGATAACAATTTTTTTTTCTGCTGAGCAAAATCGCTACCACTTCGTCACTTTTTTCTTCAAGTGGTTTAAATTTGACTAAAGTAGAATCAAACTTATTTTGTTTAACTAATTAAAGTCAGTTTTAGCATTTGGCTATTAGCGCTACCCCAGGTTATGGTTATATGTTCTATCAATCTTTGAAGATTTTCTCTATATTTGCATAGAAATAGTCTAAATTGCTGTGGTCCTGTCAAGACAAAGAAATAATAAAGTAAAAATTAAGTAAATATAACTTTTATTACAAATGACAATAAATGCCTATATTCATCAACTGTATCACAAATGACTACAAATACCTAAACAGATAAAGGAAATGATGCAGTTCTTAACTTTTATCTTTCTCAGAAATAATGATTTACGGCGAATTCTTTCTCAGGAATAGCCCTCCACTTACTTCTGTATATCTCTCCTCTCAGGGGGTGGACCCTGTGCCACAGCATCTGCATATGCTGGCGGGGGAGCAGCAGCTGAGGAAAATCATCAAGACAAACTATATGGACAGCGTATACCAGTGCGAGTAGGCAGAAATAAACTCCAAAGCAGCACCATTTATGTTATTTGTCACTTAAAATAAAACAAGCTTATCATTTACTGAACTATAATGTTTCTTGCAAAAATTCCTTATAATATTATTAAAAATTGGCAATTATGAACATGTAGCAATCATAGCGGCCTCAAATGTAACATATCTTTCAGCTATTTAATATTTTATACCAAATGCCATGACAGGTACTGGTATAAGAGAAAAGTTTTTTAAGTACCTCCAGATTTTTAAAATCATTCCTTGGGATAATGCATGTCTATATGTACATTTTTTCATAATTACATAAATTTACAATAAGGTACTTATTTATCAAATAGATAAAGAATCACAACAGTTTTACAGTACTGGGTCACAAAGTCCTCAAAGCCAATCCTGTTTGAATACATGTCATTTCATATATATATGGACCCTCCCATTCAGTTGAAATGACCTTGACCAGTTCAACATTGATCCAAGGGGGTGTGAACTAAGCAAATACCAGGACAATACTGATAATATACATATTATCTCAAGCCCATACACTGCCACCACCACTGAGCCCTTATCTTAAGATGCACTTGGGTATATCCACTTTGAAATACATGAACCCATTCAGATACTGTAACTTGAGTAGTGTCACAGTAATCAATAGGTCACACACATAGCAATAATATACATGTTAGAATGGTGAAAATATCAATCAACATTCCATTCAGTTATAAGGGCTAGTTTTACAAAAGGAATGTAACCGTACCAGTACGTTTTGGGCCAAGTGTTCGTAAAACAAGCTAAGACCAATATGACAAAACCGATCTTACTAATTAAATGGGATGGCTATCTCATTCTGGTATTCAAAGTCTCAGTCTCAATAAATAAATAAATAAATAAATAAATAAATAAATAAAATTTTAAAAAACCCACTTTTTGTGAAACAGAGCCCACCAAAAACGTTTTAAACATTGTAATCTGGTCAAAAAATGTTCCAGTGTGTGTTCACACACCTCTAATCCTTATGTAAGGACACCTGTCAACCTACCTGCATTAAAGCCCACATTTTCATAGCCAGCAACATGGTCCATCTTCTCTAAGGGAGGAGCTGTAGCTGCTGCTGCTGTAGACAGATAATGAATTTTTATAGATTTATTTTTTAAATGAAATATGGGAGCCAGACAATGCTTTATCATTAACAATTTATTCTTGGTTCTTTGTTTACTGTAAAAGCACCACCTAAAACTAAATTTGGGTAAATACAGTGATAAAAATTACTGTGTTGGATGATAATCATTAATTGGATGAAAATTTTAATAATTCAAACAGCTAAACCACAAGACATTGTGGCATCACAAATATACAATGTTCCTGTATTATTTATTTAGTCATTAAATGCAAGCAAAAAAAAAAAAAAAATAATAATAATAATAAAAATAAAATAATAATAATAATAAATAAATAATTTTAATACATGTACATTGTTCAAATTTAATGCAGTGTTTTTATTTACTCATAATCTATTAAAATTACTAATTATAAAAATAATAATTAAAAAGCTAGCCAGTGGACTATATATATGACATATATATTATCTCAGGTACTTTCTGTAGAAGAGGACTACATTACATAAAGCATGTTTCTGTGATTACCCTGATCTGGCCCCTGCTGTCCTGGGGGTGCACCCCCTGGGGCTGCCAAGGAACCCTGGGGGTATGGGGGTTGTGGCTGACCTGGACCATAGCCTTGGTGTCTGGAAAGAAAAGACAACATACTGTCATTTAACTTTACTGAGAAAACAAGCCTTTACTTTTTGATCACATCTTATACATATAAGGGTTCTCATGAAAGGAATTGTGTTCATTAGTCTTTGAACTAACAGCCCGAATTTTAATTAAGGGGTGGGATGGGGGGGGGGGATAGAGGACGGGAAGTAAATTGAAAACATTCACCTATCACACCTAAAAAAAAAGAAAAAAAAACAATTGATTTTCTATGATGAAGATAAGTAATTTTCTCATATGGAAAGCATGAAATCATAGAGTAACTGCATCAATATTAATTCACCTATTCGTTTCATATATTCTGGCTTCTTAGCATGCCACATATACAAACCCGGATGTAACATTCCCGCTAACTGCAGCACAGATATTTAAAGAATGTGAAGTAAGCTGGCAATCTAACACGATAAAAACTCTATGGTAAAAAAAATGCCCACCCTGTATTTGGGTAACCTCCTGACGCAAGTGGGTTCAGCAGAGGCTGTCTTTCGCCAGACATCTCCTAATTTATGCTAAACTGTTTTGAACGCCAAAAATGAATTTAAGAAAATCTGTTTCTGCTTCCTCTTTCCTCGTTGGTCTTGGTGCTCAGAAGGGAAAAATACCTGATACAAGTGCTTGTAGCACATGACGCAAGATGGCACCCAAATAGCTACGTTAATCATTAATCCAATATTTGAAAGAGGGTAGATTATCAATCGACTTTATATCGTCTACAGGTATCTGTCGCACGTGATCATGGGTTTTGACTATCTTTACTAGTAGAGTAATATAACACGTACGGTACATGTACTAGTGCATTGTCCTTCTGCAGTGGGCCAGTAGGTCAACCTGACCAAGACATATTAAAGAATATACATGTATACCTAACTATAGAGCTACATGTACATGTATACACAACGGCCCCCGCCTCTAACATAAGGCCTACTGATATTATAAAAAAGTCAACCAATGGACAACCACTAAAATTGGCTAGATGTTATTTTAACAACCCAAAACCGAAACAGGAAGATCTGAGAAAATGACAACTGCAGATATATAGCCTTATAGGCCTATATAAAAAATTGACTGTAGGATAAACTGAATTGCACAACATTTACCACCGACATTCTGCAGATATGACATACCGCACAAGAACCAAGCGTCAATTTAGCTGTTGCAGATATAAATACAAAATGACAGCACACATATACACACAAACACACGTCTCATATTAACTGTACACTTACTGCTGCTGCGCCATCATTGACATGACTGCCCTACTATCGTCCAACCAATGCTTTCTTCTCTTTATAGTGACCCAGTTAAAAACAAAATAGGCTAGATCTTGGTCCGTGTATGGGGGGGCAAAGTGATTTCCATTTCGTCAGAAAATGAAAAAACGGCCGTTTTTCATTTTCATTTTATGGAAATGGCCCAAATGTAATGGAAAATGAAGCTCAATTTTCGTTTTTCCATTTAAAATGAAAAATGGAAAAACGGAAATTGCCCTCGTTTTTTCATTTTTTCCAGATAATGCAAAATAAAAGATCGACCGATCCCTGACGTATTAGAAAATATAAATATCGACCGTTTTCGTGTTTTCCAATGATGAAAAGGTGGAATAGATTACAAAATACCTTTTTTTCACTGTCTGTGCAGAAATGAGAGAATCGAAAAGTGCTAGTTTTTCCGTTTTCGATTCAAATGGAAAAACGAAAGTCAGTTCGTTTTTCTGATTTTCATTTTAGGGATGAAATGGAAAAACGGAAGTCAGTCCGTTTTTCTGATTTTCATTTAAGGGATGAAATGGAGAAAACGGAAGTATAGGCAGAAAAATGGCTGCCATTGAAGGTTTTGTAGATATTATTCGAGATTTAGTTAAGAATTTCAAGACAAATGAGGAAATTTCGAGCATTCTAAAGACCCAATACGGAGTCTTGAGAGGCGCATCTGTAAGGAGCATAAAGACAATATGTTCGAAGTACAATATTCGGAGGTCTTATGTAACTCCCACAGAGGTCGTGGCAAATGAAGTCGCAAAAGCTATTGGTGAGGTAAGTAGCTATCTGTAAACGGTATTTGGCTGTGCACATATTGCAATATCAATAAAACCCTTCCCAAACTGAAATTAGACAGCTGAAAACGGAGCTGCTGCTATAAAAGTACAGACAAATTCTATCTTATAAAGCTTATAAAGATGTAATGAGCTGACATAAAGTTTCCCTTTAAGTCATAACAGAAACGGAGATGCATAACTAGTGCTTGCTTATTTTTTTGCGCCCATGAGAATTCCACGCCGATTCAAAAATTCAATTATTGCATCTGAAAAATCAAACTCACACTGGTCCTCTACCCACTGCTAATATTGGCCAATCAGTCTCCTTCATAGTGTTAATTCATATTTTAAGTTTATTTAAAACATGCTGTTTTTTAAATGATATAATAGCGACGAACGTGTTTTATTTAAAGGTAGGAACTACCTATGGGCGTAAGATGATGACCGGTTATCTTCGGTCAAAGGGCATCAAAGCAGGGGAGACGCGAGTCGGGAAAGTCTTAAGAGAGGAAAACCCGAATCACCAAAGGCGACAGGTTCATCTCATGATTAAAAATATTCTGACTGATTCATATTGCATATCAATATAAGCGGTTACGCAAAATAAAGATTTCCAATTCATTTCACGCACTATATAGTGAAAAAATATTATCATTCATTGGCACTAACTTGAAACTGCAATTAACATATGACATGAATAGCGTGATGTGCTCATTAGCTTTGTGATTCATATTTCAGGTCTCAAAAAACCTAAACCCAATACCATATCAGGCGGCTTATTTCAGACATAAAATGCATATAGACCAGAACGAAAAGCTGGTCATGTTTGGAGTGACCCATGTACTAGCGCGGGATGGCTTTAGTGGAAAAATCGTGTCCCACGCAACCATGGCCGTCAAAAACAATTTGACGATTTATGAAGAAGTTTACAAGTAAGTAGTGTTATATATTAAAGGTAAGATGATAACTCACTCTTATCAGTTTCCGTTACAAATGTCTCAATATTGTATTTCAAAAATTGATCACGAGACTTTTGTCCTACGTTAAAGTGATTGTTACGCTTATGTTTGGTATGAATGCAATATTGAACTTTATATTACAGGCCTGCCGTTAAAATTTACGGAATATTTGACCAAGTCCGTGTGGACCATGGTAAAGAATTTTACTTAACCCTGTTCATGCAAGAAGAAAATGCTGATATTCGCATTAACCAAGAAAGGACGCCATATCTCCAAACGTCGTCTAAATATGTACGTTAAGTTAACGTTGTCTGCAACCCCTTCTTCCACTAGCAATACTAATTTCATTTAATTATTTATTTATTTTATTGAGAAGAATTGTTCGCTCAAGTGGAATTCAGCTGCCATAATTCTACAACTTAAAAAATAAAAGTAATGATTACCAGGTTTATCTGCTCTCTCTCTCACACACACACAGACACACACACACACGCACGCACGCACGCACGCACACACATACACCGGGTAAACGGACTAAAATTTAAACCGTTGTTACTGTCGCTGGCGGCGCTATCTCACGTTCTCTAAATCTCATGCCGCAGATTCCCGTCAAATCGGCCTTCTCTGAAATGCATTATTTGCGACGAAAAGCTCTCATGTTGTGCTGTATTTTTTAAAATTTCAGAACCACACCATTGAGAGAATTTGGCCTGAGGTTAACAAAAGGGTAAATTACCCTTTTAAAAACGCCATGATTGAACTTGTCGAAACAGAAAAGATTTCTTTAGACAACAACGTACACAGATATTGCATGTCTACATTATTGGTCAGCTTGTGCAGCATCGGTGTGCAGCGAGTCGTCGATGCATGGAATGAGCACAGAATACCAGGTACATTGAAATGGATCTTGATTTCTTCATATATTGTTAGTTTTGAGTTCAGTGGCGTCATTCAGGTCACATTTTTCAGCCAAATGTTTTGTTCTTAAAAAATAATTATTTCAATTGACACGTTTCGATTCAACATTTATCCTAATCGACACATTCACTGCGACAGATTTTTACTTCTATTATTGTACGGATTTATTTGTATATTTCCTTGTGTACTGCAGGTAAAGGCGTTCCCAATGAAATCGCTTCAAGGGAGGCATGGGCCCCTGTAGCTGACCCGCAGAGATTTCCGTCCAAGGAGGTTGCAGCGGAGAGATACCGTGCCCGCACTGGGACGACACTTAAAGAATTTTCCCACTTCGCAAGAGACCCATTTCCTTCTCCAACTGAGCGCGATGCAGTGCAGACTGCGTTCAATTCCTCTTTTCCAGACCTAAATCAACTATGTAACTCTGTCTGTTCCGGGCATTTCGTCCCGTTTCAGGATGCGCTATTGAAATTCATAGAGCTGACGGAACAACACAGTTAGAGCTGTTTATGGCTATGAGGTTTTGTAGCTGTAATTACCTCTGAAAAGATCTTTTTTTGACCTGCTCTTTTTTGTGTGTGAGTGGTCAAATGTTGTCTTTCGGTAGCGGCCGGCCACAGAGAATCATGTGCTGGGATTATGTGGTCTGCAACGGTGACTCTTGGTACAGCCAATACTTACCCCAACTTCTGCAATGGACAGTTTTTATTGCGCGCATATGTGATAGATGCGTCCCCTTTGTCTTAGCATGCAGCTACCTAGGTTTGGAGTTGCTTTCTCTCTGGCGTTGCTTCCACTTCTCTTCCCGTCAGTTCCACCTCTGAATTTCAGCTCACAATTCCCCTCATGCTTGTATATAGTCCACAATCTTTTCTTTTTGAGTCCAATGATTATACATCTATTTTTATAGCAATCATTAAGATGGCAGGTGGCTCACATCTCACGTGATGAATAGAGTTTTTAATGTTTACCTTTATTCAGGTTGGTGAGCCAGTTGACCGGTGTGAAGGGAATGGATGTCCGCCGTAATTCATGTCCGTAGGACATGTATTCCTAGGAATGGGAATGCATGTCCTGGCTCTCTTCCTTTCCTAGGAACACATGTCCTAGGACATAATTTCCTGGGATTTAACGTCCAGTGGACACCCATTATTTAGTATTCTAAGTCCTGCAGACAGGTATCGATGTCCAAGTCGGACATATTTTCCCACCCAGACTAGTAATACATGTAGATGCCCTCTGACATTTTCATATTAATGATGTGTTAATTTTAGAAGATTTAAACGTGATGTTTAATAATGTTATAACGCTTATTATAATTATTATAATTATTTGTAGACATGTACCCCTTTACACATTAACTGAATATATTTTAAATAAACGAAAAATGACTACAAATTAATATTAGATTTAGGATATATATATATATTTTCATTTTATTTCCGATTAATATGGAAAATATGAGATTCGCGCAATTCAATGCACCTTGTGAAATATCTCGGCCTCTTCATATTACATTAATGCCTTAATTGTTGTTAATCGGCCATTCACATACAACTGTATGTCTGGGGTACACAGCTTTGGATTTTGGCTCGTGTCCATTTCTAACCAATATCATGAATATGTTTTTTGTCTATATACACATCACATTATACGTTTCACGGGGTGTTTTTCGGTGAACTACGAGTGTGTGAAATAATACACTGCCACCCTCTCTCGTCTTGTGAATTCCTGCTGAAAAAAAAACAAGATCCAGTGAACAACTTAGGCTTTTCCTTGACTTTAAATTTATCTGTATAGCCGTTGACTGCTATAAATTGTTTAACATGGTCACTTAACCATTGGAAATACTATATAACTTCTGATCTATGACCTTTACACATAGTTCTTTAATTAGCAATGCTGTAATTTTGACTGACCCGATGTGGCAATTTCCTAAAACCACCGAACTGGTAACTTAATTAACAGTAGCACGAACACGAAACTGACATAAAATTATGACATCTATTTTCAATTGTGGCAGTTGAACGTGCCATTTAAATTATTGGTAGAGATAATTTGCCAGCCATAATAGGCCACTAATTAATCGTTCGTACATGTACGTCTACCGGGTACTTGAGATCGGAAGGTTGTATGTATGGCGTGTTAAGCTTTATACAGATAAAAAAGTTCCTATCTTGCTTGTGTTGATGCGCATTTTACATTTATTGTTAGCCTAGACGTTTGGCACCACCGGTATATTTCAATCATCTGATCGTATGTAATTCGTTTTTAGCAAATCAAGCTAATGCTCATGTCATTATCAATGTATGATTTTTGAGCTTCGTTTAAAACTTGCGTTCAATCTTATAAAATCGGGCATAAGTGACAATGATTGGCAGGGAGCTTTCTTGATACCATTTGAGTCTGTCGAAGAAACTAAACTACAAGCAATGCAATACAGAATAATTCACAATGTGCTGTACACCAACTCCAAACTGTTCGAAATGAAAATAGTTACTCGCCCAGGATGTATACAATAATACATCGTTTTGTGGAATGTGTACGCGCAAGAAACTTTTGGATTGCATTTGAAAACTGGTGGAACACTCCGAATAATACCATTCAATTCAGAAAAAATGAAAAAAAACTATAATGTTCGGGTGTTTGTCTAGCGACCAGTGCGCAAAAGCTTTAAATTTCTGTATTATTGTGGCTAAACAATTAATAAACAAAAATTCAGAAAATCCATTAGTATTTGATTTTGAACTCTTTCTGCATTTTCTCAGTCAGAAGAAGAAAATAGAAAAATACAGTGCTATAAAGACAGGAAAAGAAGATACATTTAATACAAAATGGAAACGCATTCCATTGCCCCCCAAAAATTGATTTAGTGATCTTTTTGTTGATATTGTGTAGTCGACATATTTGGCGGTTTCATATGACTCAAGAACTTATAAGAGATAACTGAAGTGTGTAATATTTTATTGTAATTTTGTTCTCTTGCAAATGAATGCACTTCTTTCAAAATACCGAGTGTACTAAACAACGTATGGATTATACATGAAAATTCTCAAACACAAGCCTAAAAATTTCTGTACCGTTAGCTTACACCCAGTTCTTTAAGTAGCAAAATTGGACTTTGTGAATAAAGTGAAGGATATCATTCTGGGACCACAGGAAGCCCTAGACCTCGTCAGGACAAGACAGCAACCAACTTTGAGTCAACAGATACAGTCAGAAAACAACAGTTAGTGGGGGGGGGGGGGATCTACCTGACATTTATAAGAAGGTCCTGGCCGCTGTACCACCTAGCGGTCAGTGAGTGTGAGCAACTACTCACATCAGTCTGATGAAGGCCTTCGACCAGGTTGGCCGTAAGCTAAAGCCTAGGTCCCAACTACGTTTTGGACGCACGGTTTTTAGGTTCCTTGCGTCCGTCTAGGACGTAGCTATATCGCAGGGAGGGAATCAAGTAAAGCTTAGGTCCCAACCCGAACGTACGGGCTGCTACGTGTGGTCTACGGCCAAAAAAATGGGGAAAACGTGGGAGTTCGTGCGTGAGGAGCACGTCCATCGTGAGACTTTTGGAGGACGCAAACAGCACGTAGAAACTTTTCGACATGATCAACAGCCGCTACGTGCGATCTTGCTACGTCCTAGCCGGACGCAAGGAACCTAAAAACCGTGCGTGGAAAACGTGGTTGGGACCTAGGCTTAACGGTACAGAAATTTTAAGCTTGCGTTTGAGAATATTCACGTATGAATGTCGTGGTAATTCAATTCTGGAACTAATAAATCTTGGAGATTCAGTCTTCGAATATGGGCTTGAGTGCCTCGAGTATCGGCTCAAGGCCCCTGACCGGTACAAAACTAGGGCTCGAAGCCCTACACTTCGGGCAGGCGTTCCTCTGATGGGTTGTTTGCCATCTTTCAATGCAGGCCTGGCAGGTTAATATGGTATTACAACAGCTGCTGAAAACAGGAGTCCGGAGTACGCCTGAATTAAACAAAGTATAGGAAATGGTTAAGTGAAAAAAATTATTGGGAAAGCAGGTGCTGTAACACAAAATAAAAGATCTTTAATCAAAAATTAATCTGAATCAATTATACTCAGCATCTTTGCTCTGAAATTTCTCTATAAAATAGACTGCCCATTAAATAATTAAACAATTGACTTTGTGCCTAGATTAAAAAGAGTTCACTTAGTTGTGCTAAAAGAGATATGTTTATACAAAAGTGTGTTGTCACGAATATTTAATTGTGTTGCCGAAATATAACCTACCCATGCAAATACTGCAGCCGAAAATGTCTCTGAAGTTATCGATCTGGGTGGGTGACAAGACCAGGATTTGTCTCCGTTTGGCGGTTAATTCTTCTATCAGAGTTTCAATATTGCGAAGTTTTCTAACTGGGTCTGTGTCCTCAAACCTTTCAAAGGCGGCGGTATGAGAGCGCCTAAAATTAACATTATTTCAGTAACATTTACAGAGTTTCTCTGTCAGATGTGCCTTTGGCCTTAAAACAATCTTTCCACTTTTTTTCTTAGATCTCTATGTGTTTTTTGTGTTCCTAGTAAAATCTTTCAGTTTTTGGTACTGATATTGTGGCATTTTTCATTCCATATTGTGTGCCTGTTGTTGTTTTAATGTTAAACGAGATAAATATATATAGTTCAATATATGTAGTTAAAGAAAATTAATCAAATCGACCACATATTCATATATGAGAAAAGCTTATACCTCCGCCCACTGGTTCGCGCTGCATTTAAAGCCAGGGCGTCGCTCTTTGCTAAAATGTATATTTTTCTGGAGTTACACTTCCAGAATTCACTTGCTGGAAATAAAGATGAAAGTCTTACAATCATGAATGTCACTTTTGAAGCGATTTATCTTACTTGTATTGTTATCGGTATTAAAAACTGACAAAAACTGACCGAAAATATTTGCTCAGAAAAGCTGACTTTCATTTCATAACAAAGACGTGGGAAAGCATGGAAGACGGACGGCTAGAATTAAATTGATAGAATAAGAATTAGAGATAGAATGAGAGTGAAAATCTGTTTAAGTTTTTTGAATTTGGGCATTTTTTTTCGCCCCTTATGCCTTTTCATGAGTTGCTTCATCTCATTAGGGTCGGACCGGCCTACCTCTTGTGGCTTCTGTATCAGTCAATTCGAACCCTGCCGAATCAGTGAGGACGTATTCTCCGGGTAAGTGACCCGTTTCTATCACCATCCTTAACACATCAGGTACGTTGCATGTATCGGGCGTCATATTTATAGTAATCAGTGCCCCAGGGCTTAAAGATTTGCCGAAAACCACCCCCTGATAAATCTTCCTGTAAAGAGAAATCAGCTCTATTGATTTTTACTTTCAGAAAAGGGCTATGTCTATTATGTTATTATTTTAATGGAAGGCAATTGCAGTACATTCTTTTGTAAATCAATAAAGAAACACTTAAAGGGATAATAACTCTTCGTATGATATCTATATTTCACAGTAAAAACCTTGTGAATAACTCATAGAAATATAATATATTCTGTTTTACCAAAAAACAGCAGTTATAGCTTTTATTCTGATATCTGAACTTGTCTTTAGACCACGTGACCTCCATTGATGTCTATACTCTGTTAAAATCTCTTAAGAGATTTTAACAAAAAACCAAACTTTTTAGAAAAAAAACAGGGACTAACTTTGAATGTAAAAATGGATTCATTAACCATTGGTAAGTATGGGAAAATTGTTGTTTACTCCAGGAAAATTCATTATTTTGGCCGAAACGAAGAGTTATTATTGCTTTAATGAAATAGGAATGCAATTCATGCTGTCACCTGGCAAATGATGCACCCCTACTCCTAAAGGAGAGTACGGGGGGTGTAGGAGTTGGTAAAATCAAACTACCGGCAGTGCTGTTTACGGACTCCGGGGCATACCCCTGCAGGTTGAAGATAAAACCATTTAAATTTTCCTCCGAAAATATCCCCTCTTCCGAAGGGAAGATTGCTTCATTGTCTGCATTTGTAACGTATAGGTCACTTTGTTGTTCGGGTGGAATCTGAAAATATGTTGATGCATCATTTAATAAAAATAAACGAACAAACAGACAGACAGGGACGGACGGACGGACGGACGAATGGATAGGTAGATAGACAGACTTAAATTATTAACACACTGTAATGATATTCTTTGTTTGATTTAGAGTGGAAATGTTTATTTTACATATCCATTTTTTACTCA